TGAGGAACATCACTCCAGCTCAACAACAAAACATACGGTCTTACCGAGGCTACGGCAACTCCGCGGAGCTCGCGTACAATCACTTGAAGAGCCTGTATCAAGCAACAGACAGCGTAAACCAAAGTCGGTTAATGGCGCAGCTGACAACAATCGAAATGAAACCAGGCGAGAAGGGAATGGCGTATATCAGTCGCTGCCGCGAGCTGCGCGACAAGCTTCTTCGATGTGGAGGATCGATTTCAGAGGACGCCTTCGTCACGGTTGTCATCGGCGGTCTTGGTCCTCACTGGCGTTCCACTCGCGCCATACTACGAGCCCACGGGAAAATTTCTGAAGCAGCACTTTGCGCCGAAATCCACGCCGAGCAGCAAGACATGGACCTGCAAGAAGAACGACACAAGAGAAAGGTATCAGTGCCCGAATTCGCGTTTCACACTCAACGGCGCCACAACAACAACAACAATCGACCGAAAATCGTACCTCCGTTCTGCCACCTCTGCAAGACTTCAGGGCATCCTCGTACGCACTGCCCGAATCGACAACAGTCAACGTCGCCGCAACGCCAACTTCGCCCTTCAAGCAGTCAAGTCGCCTCAACACAAGCAAATCCGACAACTTCAGTACAAGTCTCAACAACATCGACGGGACAACCTGCGAAAGGAACAAGAAACATCGTCAGCTGCATGGCAAGGCTGAGTGACTCCTGCGTAACTGAGTCACCACCATATTACTCACCAGAAGAACAACTCGACAACAGCACGCCTCGCCGCGAGTCACTTCAACCGAACCCGACGTACGCCGCCATCGCTCAAAGCGAGCCGTCCGGGAAGGATACATGGTTCTTGGACAGTTGCTGCGGACAACATATGTGCTCTTCAGGACGTTTCGTTCAACGCGAGCACCAACTTCAACGAGAAGTCGTCATCACTGTCGCCAATAATCAGAACCTGCGCACACGACGACAAGGAGTAGTGCAACTTCAGTCACGAGAGACGAATGTCATACTGCAAATGTCCAAAGTCCTAATAGCAGAAAGACTTGGCTACAACTTACTGAGCGTCAGTCAGTTGATGGCGAAAGGCATACATCTGGAAGCCGACAGTACCACCCAGGAGTTCAAGCTGTACCACGGGAAGGGCGGCCTCTACATCGGAAAGGCGGTCCTGAAGAACAATGTCTTCGTTCTCGATTTCGTCCCAGACCTGGGCACCGCAGACAGTGACGGGATCGTCACCTTCACATCTTGGACGCACCCGCCGGATCTCGAACCCGACTTCATTCCGGAAGGCTTTTGGTATTCACATACCATTCCTGAAGCAGAACGAACACGTGCGTTAGTAACAATACAACATTCGGCAGCAGCAGAGACAACATCGGCAACAACAGAGACAACATCGGCAGCAGCAGAGACAACATCGGCAGCAGCAGAGACAACATCGGCAGCAGCAGAGACAACATCGGCAGCAGCAGAGACAACATCGGCAGCAGCAGAGACATCATCGGCAGCAGCAGAGACATCATCGGCAGTAGCAGGAACAACAACAGTAGCAGCAACAACGACACCACTCCTCGTTGACGAAGCACCACCAACACCCGCACAGCACATGTCTACCAGAAAGGAGAGGAGCTCCTCCAACGGCTCTCCTGGTACTACTCCTACTCCACCTCCTGCCTCTGGCCTACAGACAGAGGAAGGCACAACAACGAGACCGGCAGCTGGGTCTACTGAAACACCCGCAAACCAAGGCGCGGGCTTCGATCCAAGCATGATGGAGAAGTTCTTCTCCTTCATGTCCTTCTACGAGCAGCATCAGCAAGGAGCACCTGCGCAATCAAACAACAGCAACAACAACAACAACGTGACGCCCATGAGTCTCGATGGCTCATCCTACGCACGCGGGAATCAACAACAGCAACCTACCTTCGCTCCGTACGAGCCCCAGCGCGGCTCCGTCGGCTTCATGCCACAACCACAACCTGCACCGGGACAAGAGAGAACGCTGGACGCACTACAAGTTCAGTCGCAGTTCGCGCACGTTCTAAAACTGCAAACGACAAAACCCTTCGACGGGAAGGATTTCTTTACCTGGTCGTTCGAATTCGAGCTGATGATGGAAGGAGCGCAAATCCTTGGCTTCTTCGACGGGTCCCTGCCATACCCAACAAACGGCACACAGTATGAGAAGCAGCAGTACACCTATCAATCGATGATGGCGTACACGATAAAACTGAGGAACATCACTCCAACTCAACAACAAAACATACGGTCTTACCGAGGCTACGGCAACTCCGCGGAGCTCGCGTACAATCACTTGAAGAGCCTGTATCAAGCAACAGACAGCGTAAACCAAAGTCGGTTAATGGCGCAGCTGACAACAATCGAAATGAAACCAGGCGAGAAGGGAATGGCGTATATCAGTCGCTGCCGCGAGCTGCGCGACAAGCTTCTTCGATGTGGAGGATCGATTTCAGAGGACGCCTTCGTCACGGTTGTCATCGGCGGTCTTGGTCCTCACTGGCGCTCCACTCGCGCCATACTACGAGCCCACGGGAAAATTTCTGAAGCAGCACTTTGCGCCGAAATCCACGCCGAGCAGCAAGACATGGACCTGCAAGAAGAACGACACAAGAGAAAGGTATTAGTGCCCGAATTCGCGTTTCACACTCAACGGCGCCACAACAACAACAACAATCGACCGAAAATCGTACCTCCGTTCTGCCACCTCTGCAAGACTTCAGGGCCTGGGCCTCGGTGTCGCTGGGGAGTAGGAGGGTTGCGTCGCTGAGAGCTGTGAAATCGTACTTGGAGTTCACTAGAGGTGGAAAGAGAGGGGTGGGGGGCAGCGGGAGACGGAGAGGGAAAGACGAGAATCTGAGCGCGAATCCGAATACCATCAATAGGGGCTAGTAGTAAGGAGAGTATAACTGATGGGTGTCGAGATATGCGGATCGTTTCTAGCTACAAAGCGAAGAGAGGAGCGTGATATTTTGTATGCAGTCGCGCTAGTAAACGATTCCAAATGAGGTACTTGTGTTCGCGGCTTTGTGAACGAGAATGGGGCGAGACGAACCGTGGTAACGAGGAAAATTATTTATGTCACGATTTGGAGTTCTTACGTGCTTGGCCGATGTACTTGTTAATGTCCTTGGCGTATTTAGAGTATTGCGGGTACTTCTTGGTGATGGCGTTCACCATGTTCTGCAGCTCGGCTTTTATTTGCGCCTTGGTGGGCTTCGCTTGTGAATGCGCGGTGGCGAAGCATAGCACGATGCAGAGCAGGCCGACGAGAGGAATGAACCGTGAGCTGGCCATTTTTTTTGCGAATATGTGCACGATTGTCGCTAAGAAATTATTGGGTTGGGGAGAGCTATGGAAAACGAGACTGGACTGGAAGCGTCTGGCTGGCTGGACTGCTGGATTGAAGAGTAGTGGAAGCACGAATGTATTGGATGAAGGATTGGATGCACGAAACACCATTTATATATTGGACAGAGCTGGCTGGGGGCGCGTCAACATTGACCGACATGCGGTGCGGGAAGCGGTGGAGTGCTTTCGCGACACAGCATTTCGTAGCAAGCGATATTCGGCAACTCGTAACTCAATGGCAGCATGTTATTTTGCAGGGACGAACTGTCGCGAACGCACACGAAACATGTTGGCCAGGGGTTACTTGAAGTTTAGCGGTGGCGACGATTGGTCGCGGCCCGCGTCAATGACATTCATTGTCATTCCCTCCGCACTTGACCTCCAGCTTCCTCGCCAAGGCTCACGCTGCGGTTTGGGTAGACAGGCAGCAGGAACAGACAAACGGGAACCGAACATTTTTCTGTCCCTGTTATTACGGTGCTTCTCTCACCTCGGTGCCTTTACACTCTCTCAATTTGGTTACATAGAGTATATGAAAATCAATAGCGTTTTATCTGTTCAACGGAGTTTTATCTAAATGCTTTGGAAGCAGAATAACTTCACCAGGCACGAGGAGGGGTTAGAATCGTTGCGAAATTTCAGGATGCATTTGACTTATGAATAATAAATTTATATAGGCATGCAAACTAACAAGTGTTTGACGTGGGCTAATTGAGCATAATCTCTTATATTGAACACATATAGCGCTTCTAGTCCACCAGTCTCCATAAAAAGTGTTCGAAGTAACATCTTTTGGTTCTGGTTGCCATAACTCGGTTGTCGAAGAATCTTCACGAAAGAAAGCGATGCTTCGCGCAGCTTTTAACTTTGCCCCTGTGAGAGCCTTCAGAGTTCCCAGCGAAGCTTGTTGAATGTCCCTCTGCCTTCGCTGAAAGGGATCCTGCTTGTGGAATTCAGCAGGTCGCCCTGCGAAACAGTTACGGCGACGCGTGGCGTTCAAGTCGCAACTACCACACTATCGCCGTTGACGTGACGTGAATGCAACGAATGACTTTCGCCATACGCTGCTGGCAGGATCCATGCCAGCGACACAGTCGAACCAGACCAGTGGCCTTGCCGAGGCAGACCAAACCGCCATCATGGTGCAGACTGCGGAGAAACCGATGTCATCGAACCTGAAACCTGCCTCAGTCCGAACCGTTCACGTGGTAAGGTGGTTGTCCGTACTTGGTTGCTTGTTGGTGTTTCCAGACCGGGTTGCTTGTTCAAGTGTCCAAACCTCGCAGCTTCTTGGAGTTTCCGAACGCGTTTCCCAGTAATCTGGGCTTTCCCCCTCGCTCCACCCCACACCGTCACCTCACTGCAAATCTCGCCCTTTCCCTACCTCCGACCAGGCTTTCTTGCCGAACCGTCTCCCGAACCGACTCCCCCTCATCCCACCATCTTCGTTCTGGCACAATCTTCTACCTAAATCAAAACTTCGGCCTTACTCAATCAACCCTAAGTAGAATATATAGTACTCGGTTCTTCATTTCTCAGCAGTTCAGCTTTGCGTGCAGTTTCGAGTTCATCTACCAGCTTTCTCTCATCCAGCTCTATTATCTTTCTAATAGGCTCAGTCTCGTCAGGCACCATGCAGATCTTCGTCAAGACTCTCACCGGCAAGACCATCACCCTTGAGGTGGAGAGCAGTGATACCATCGACAACGTTAAGGCTAAGATTCAGGATAAGGAGGGTATCCCTCCTGACCAGCAGCGTCTGATTTTCGCCGGCAAGCAGCTCGAGGACGGGCGCACTCTTGCTGACTACAACATCCAGAAGGAGTCTACGCTTCACTTGGTGCTCCGCCTTCGTGGTGGTATGCAGATCTTCGTTAAGACCCTCACCGGAAAGACCATCACGCTTGAAGTCGAAAGCAGCGACACTATCGACAACGTGAAAGCCAAGATTCAGGATAAGGAGGGTATTCCTCCTGACCAGCAGCGCCTGATTTTCGCCGGCAAGCAGCTCGAGGACGGGAGAACCCTGGCCGACTACAACATCCAGAAGGAGTCGACGCTGCATCTGGTGCTCCGTCTCCGCGGTGGGATGCAAATTTTCGTCAAGACCCTCACCGGCAAGACTATTACGTTGGAGGTGGAGAGCAGCGACACCATCGATAACGTAAAGGCTAAGATTCAGGACAAGGAGGGTATCCCTCCCGACCAGCAGCGTCTGATTTTCGCCGGCAAGCAGTTGGAAGATGGACGTACCCTTGCTGACTACAACATACAGAAGGAGTCTACTCTGCATCTGGTGCTCCGACTTCGTGGTGGCATGCAAATCTTCGTTAAGACCCTCACCGGTAAGACTATCACGTTGGAGGTTGAGAGCAGCGACACCATTGATAACGTAAAGGCGAAGATTCAGGACAAGGAGGGTATTCCTCCTGACCAGCAGCGCCTGATTTTCGCCGGCAAGCAGCTCGAGGACGGGAGAACCTTGGCCGACTACAACATCCAGAAGGAGTCGACGCTGCATCTGGTTCTCCGTCTCCGCGGTGGTATGCAGATCTTTGTTAAGACTCTCACTGGGAAGACCATCACCCTTGAGGTGGAGAGCAGCGATACCATTGACAACGTGAAGGCGAAAATCCAGGACAAGGAGGGCATTCCCCCTGACCAACAGCGTTTGATCTTCGCCGGTAAGCAGCTGGAGGATGGACGTACCCTCGCGGATTACAACATTCAGAAGGAGTCCACTCTTCACCTTGTCCTCCGCCTTCGTGGTGGACAGTAGGCCTGTGTTTAGTTGGCCTTTGAGTATCCAGCTGGTGGCTTATGTAAATTGGGTGGCTTCTGTAAATTGGATTGAAGCATGATTAGCAATGACATCAGCAGCCTATTTTGTTCATACAAAGAAATCACCCACAAACAGAAACATTTGCACAGCCACAGCAAAGCAAGGACTACACTACACTACGGTACTGTATGCACAGCACAATTACCAGCACAATAACTAGCTCAATAACCATCCTTCAGTTACTTTGACCCAAATTGCAAGCCGCGCGCGTCAAAAGCCTGAGGTCAGCATGGTTTTTGCTACAGTGACCTCAGGGCTTTAAATGTGGTCGCGAAAAGCTAAACCAATGTATTTCGGCAACTGAACAGGAGCGAAAGCGAAACCAGGCCGCGACGAGCTTCTGCACTCGTCACCCACCTGTGCGACACTGCACCACTCGGTTGGGGGGTGTTGGGGGCAAGAAAGCGAAGCCACGTGCGTAGATGTGAGCAAAATGCACGCGACTCGGAAAGAGGTGGCATCGCAGCCAATCAGTCCCCTGAAAATACACCCTAGCAAGAAGATTGTGGAAGCACCAACACAACAAACGGGGAGAGAACAAACACACGAAAGAGGGACGTATTACGCTTGGTAAAGAATGCTAGTTGAGCGCGACGGCAGCAGGTAGGTAGGGAGAGGGCGACCCCTGCACACCTGACGCGAACGCGTCAGCCACGTGAAAATACGAGCCTGATGTAACAAGGGAGCACAGGTAGGTCCCTCGACTACCAACCATGCACGCACTTTGGCAGGGTGATACAACAACAAAGCACGTCGCCGTACCATTGTACCGCGTCGCAGGAGACGTCAGCATTCAAGCGCTCAAGGCAAAGTTTACGCTGAACGTTCGTAATAGATGTGAGACTCGTGGCCCATTGGTGAAAATGAGAGGGGTCGTTCTCAGGCAAGCATACGCTCTCGTTAGCGAAGGAAGGACGGAATGGTAGTATGCTCGCGTCATCCGGAAACAGCCATGCAGCCAATGTAATTTGGAGGTAGAGTTTTAGTAGCTCCCAACAGCTTCACTGCCCCTAAGCCTGGCGGCTTACAACGGTTTACTAGCGTGTGAGTAAACGCGAATCATGCTGGGAAAGGGACTCGCCGGTTAGAGGGCGACGGGGATCACAACAAGCAACGCAAATACAGAACATGTAAGAGGGCGTCAAAGGGATTAGGGTAAAGCATGCACAGTGACACGACGGGCCTCGTAAAGCAATGTCACACACAGCTATCGGATTTACTGCTGCACGATCCCAACCCAGGTGGTTACATGGGCAGCAACAGGCATAGCACTTCTCTCCCAGCACGAATGTAGCGGATTGCAGCACCGGTCTTTGCAATAGTCGAGTGATCTGCAGCTGTCGCAATAACATGCATCCATGCAGCTGTTGTTTCACGACATGCAGAGAAGCGACCTGCCACTGTCATATTTAACAACTGCCATGTGCAGTCACAGGGACAGTGGTCACCAGTGATTGGCGATCGCACGGCATGTGGTCGCTGCTGCTCATCGCACGGCATGTGGTCGCTGCTGCTCATTGCTCTTCATGTGGGGCATACCCAAACCGCTCATGTCACAGTACATGGTCACTGCCACTCATTGAAAATCATGTATTCACTGCTGCCCATGTCACAGCCTTCCGGTTACTACTAGTAATGTCACAGATGATGTGGTCAGTTCTACGCATGTCGTAGCACGTGATCACTTCTTCTCATGTCATAACATGAGGTCATTCTTCACAATTCAATGCATGTGACCACTGCTGCTCATCTCACAGCATGTGGGTGTCACTGCTACTGTCACATCGTCTATCTGTTTGGGTTTGCATGCCTAACTCGTGCCGCTGGCACCGCAGCACTTGGTGCCGCTGCCTCTTCAACTCCCCCACTATCATCTCTTTCCCATCGATATAGGTAAGACGCATTGCTGCAATTGGGGCACAGGACTTGTCTGTCATCCATCCATAAGGCTGCCAGGAACAACAGAACAACGCACCCTCTCCTTGTAAGACACACATCCATTTCTGGAGCCTCAATCCCAGCATTGACATATCAACTATACCTGACTTGTATCGCAGGATGATCATCACGTGCTCCCGTTGCCTAGCACAGCGCATGTGATGTATGGTTGCGGTCACAATATCTTGCGTCACTTGTCCTACTGTCTCTTCTGCTGCGCAGTTGTTGTTACTCTGCTGCGTCATCATCTAGAGGTTTAGAGAGCAAATGTCAAAGCCACAACTGTCTCTGCTGCGACTAAACACAACTAGTCGAACCCCATCCCCTACTCCTGCTTTCCCCCATCCCCTTCCCTGCTTTCCCCCATCCCCTTCCCTGCTTCCCCATGTCCCCTTCCCTGCTTTGCCCCATCCCCTTCTCTGCTTCCCCCCATCCCCTTCCCTGCTTTGCCCCATCCCCTTCCCTGCTTCCCCCCATCCCCTTCCCTGATTCCCCCGATCCCATTCCTTGCTTCCCCATGTCCCCTTCCCTGCCTTCTCCCATCCCCTTCCCTGCCTTCTCCCATCCCCTTCCCTGCTTCCCCCCATCCCCTTCCCTGCTTCCCCCCATCCCCTACTCTGCTTCCCCCCATCCCCTTCCCTGCTTCCCCATGTCCCCTTCCCTGCTTCCCCCCATCCCCTACTCTGCTTTCCCCCATCCCCTTCCCTGCTTCCCCCCATCCCCTTCCCTGCTCTCCCCCATCCCATTCCCTGCTTCCCCATGTCCCCTTCCCTGCCTTCCCCATGTCCCCTTCCCTGCCTTCTCCCATCCCCTTCCCTGCCTTCCCCCATCCCCTTCCCTGCTTTCCCCCACCCCCTTCCTTGGTTTCCCCCATCCCCTTCCCTTCTTCCCCATGTCCCCTTCCCTGCTTTTCCCCATCCCCTTCCCTGTTTTCCCCCCTCCCCTTCCCTGCTCCCCCCTGTCCCGTCCCCTGCTTCCCCCCATCCCCTTCCCTGCTTCCCCCCATCCCCTTCCCTGCTTCCCCCCATCCCATTCCCTGCTTCCCCCCATCCCATTCCCTGCTTCCCCCCATCCCCTTCCCTGCTTCCCCTTGTCCCCTTCCCTGCTTTCCTATGTCCCGTTCCCTGCTTCCCCCCCTCCCCTTCAGTGCTTCCCCCATTCCCCTTCCCTGCTTCCCCCCATTCCATTCCCTGCTTACCCCCCTCCCCTTCCCTGCTTACCCCCCTCCCCTTCCCTGCTTTCCCCCCTCCCCTTCCCTGCTTTCCCCCTTCCCGTTACCTGCCTCCCCCCATTCCCATTCCCTCTTTCCCCATATCCCCTTCCCTGCTTTCCCCCTTCCCCTTACCTGCATCCCCCCCATTCCATTCCCTGCTTACCCCCCTCCCCTCCCCTGCTTTTCCCCATACCCTTCCCGGTTTCCCCTTGTCCCCTTCCATGCTTTCCCATGTTCCGTTCTTTACATCCCCCTATCCCCTTCTCTGCTTTCCCTCATCCCCTTTCCTGCTTCCCCCCCCTCCCCTTCCCTGCTTAGAGCCAAACCATTCCCTGCTTCCCCATGTCCCTTCCCCTTGTCCCCTTCCCTGTTTTCCCCCCTCCCCTTCCCTGCTCCCCCCTGTCCCGTCCCCTGCTTCCCCCCATCCCCTTCCCTGCTTCCCCCCATCCCCTTCCCTGCTTCCCCCCATCCCATTCCCTGCTTCCCCCCATCCCCTTCCCTGCCTCCCCATGTCCCCTTCCCTGCTCCCCCCAGCACGTGGTGCTGCTGCCTTTGTAGATAGCTAGTCTTTCATCACACCACACCTATCTGCAGCCAGTGTTGCTTCAGCCGTTGCACTTCTCACACCCCATCCGCTTGCACATCATTACAAGTTATTGCTACCTGTGCTTTGCTGCTGTTGTTTGGCTTATAGTGCCTCACTGTTGCCGCAGGCACGGCTGCGCGTGGTGATGCTGCCTTTGCACTTCATTTGTCTTTCAGCCCTAACCCGTTTTCCAGCTACTAGCAGGACGTGTTGCAGGGGCTACTAGCAGATCTATCCCCCTCTCGCCTCTCCACGCTTCCCTGTCTCCCTCAACTCCTTCCACTTGACCAAAAACCTTCAGATGCACCGTCTCCCCATCCCCCATCCCTGCGATACATCCCATGTCAGCGCCTAAAATTGGGCCCGCCAGTGCAGGGAGTGCCGCTGCTGGCGTACTCGCAGAGGGACATGGAGGGGGCAGGGCGGCTTTCCCTGGTGGTTTGCCTCGGCCCCCTGGGACGTCTGCCGCCTAGTGGCAAATGACACCTGGTGCAGTGCAGGTGACTCTGGTGTATTGCAGTTGACCGATGGTGCATTTGTCATTTGCACTAGTGCATGATATCCCATGCCATCTCCCCATTTTTCTCCACTTCCTTCTTCTCTCTCCTAGCTCCACCGACAAATCTCCCATCCCTCCCATGATTCCCGTTAGAAATCATCTCAAAGACAATCACCTTGACTCTTTCCCACCTCCCCTCTCTCCCTTCTTTTCCCCCCTTCCCAACCACTCCCCACTCCCCCACATTTTGACAGCCAATGCACACAGTAAGCAGTGAGAGCTAGCTTGTCAACCTGCTGCTCCTCCTCCTTGTTCCCAGCTTCCTGAGCCATCTCCTTCGCCTCTGCCCCCCACCCCACTCCCCCCACGACCCCTCCACCCCCCCCCTCCCCCCTCCGCAAATCAGCCATTGCAAAGCTCCAGCAAGGAGAGCCCCTCGAAATTTTCCCTCTACTCCTCCTTTCATGTGCCCGACGCCGCCACTCTTGGCCACTCCTCTCTGCTGGGCTTACCTGGACATATTCGGCGGAACCGTCTTGAGTGAAGCTCCACATAAATCTCACAACGTATCTTGGGGAATTCAGGTTTAGGGTTTTGGCAACGGCAAGTCGCTTTTCTAAGGGCGTGTCATGCTGGGTGAACTTGCAGTTCATTCAAAGCGGCTGACTATGATGTCTGCGGAGCGGTTCTATAACGGCGAGTGTGCTTCACGGATTCGAAGTGCTACGTACCAGGCCAAACATTCTTTGGCGAGATGCGTTTTCACCATGTATGACACACCGTTATACCGAGAAACCGTTTTTGGATAATAGTATGCTTGACATTGGCTATGCTGTGCATGTTTGTTAGGGAAATATTACAGCTTGGCACAAGCTAACTTCTTCATGTCTTTTTACGTGTTGGAGCTCGGGTCAAGATTGAGATAGGGCATACACAGTACACCCCCTGTACACGGTATCATCAGCACATGAACCCAATTCAGACCCTAAACCATTGGCACCAAACAACCGACCCACAAGTCGATCCCTGCTGACAATCTAGATATCATGCCGCGGCCTCTACACTCTGTGCTTGCCGGGTTGCGCCTTCGTTCCATGCCACTCCGCACTAACCACACCACACAGCTCTACTCGATTCAAATGCCTTTGCCCCATGATCCAGATTCAGCACAGTTGCCTGCACAGTGTCGGCTGTCACGCATGCGCGCACGCAGGCATACACACACGCAGGCACGCACGGAGGCTGAAAGACACGGACACAGATCATGGGGAGGCAGACATGCAGTCAGGCAAAGTGCAGACCAGGGTTCCGCAACACATGTGAGGAGGAATCTGAGGAAGAATATGAAGAGCAGACAAGTGGTGCATGTGAGTGCCGTGGAAGGGGACACGGTGAAGCAGGGGAGGGGATGGGGGAAAGCAGGGAATGGGATGGGGGGAAGCAGGGAAGGGGACATGGGGAAGCAAGGAAGGGGACATGGGGAAGCAGGGAAGGGGGTGGGGGGAAGGGAAGAGGATGGGGGGAAGCATGTTTAGGGATGGGGCACCCGAAGGGAAGGGGATGGGGGGAAGCAGGGAAGGGGACACGGGGAAGCAGGGAAGGGGACGGGGGAAAGCAGGGAAGGGGATGGGGGGAAGCAGGGAAGGGGACATGGGGAAGAAGGGAAGGGGACATGGGGAAGCAGGGAAGGGGACATGGGAAAGCAGGGAAGAGGACATGGGGAAGCAGGGAAGGGGACTTGGGGACGCAGGGAAGGGGACATGGGGAAGCAAGGAAGGGGTCATGGGGAATGATGAAAGCATGTATGGGGAAATAGATGGGTGCACACGGATGGGGATGGGGGGAAGCAGGGAAGGGGATATGGGGAAACAGGGTAGGGAATGGGGGGAAGCAGGGAACGGGATGGGGGAAGCAGGGAAGGGGATGGGGGGAAGCAGGGAACGGGATGGGGGGAGGCAGGGAAGGGGATGGGGGGAGGCAGGGAAGGGGATGGGGGGAAGCAGGGAAGGGGATGTGGGGAAGCAGGGAAGGGGATGGGGGGAAGCAGGGAAGGGGATGGGGGGAAGCAGGGAAGGGGATGGGGGGAAGCAGGGAAGGGGATGGGGGGGAGCAGGGAAGGGGATGGGGGGAAGCAGGGAAGGGGATAGGGGGAAGCAGGGAACGTGATGTGGGAAAGCAGGGAATGGGATGGGGGAAAGCAGGGAATGGGATGGGGGGAAGCAGGGAAGGGGATGGGGGGAAGCAGGGAAGGGGATGGGGGGAAGCAGGGAAGGGGATGGGGGGGAGCAGGGAAGGGGATGGGGGGGAGCAGGGAAGGGGATGGGGGGAAGCAGGGAAGGGGATGGGGGGAAGCAGGGAAGGGGATGGGGGGAAGCAGGGAAGGGGATGGGGGGAAGCAGGGAAGGGGATGGGGGGGAGCAGGGAAGGGGATGGGGGGAAGCAGGGAAGGGGATGGGGGGGAGCAGGGAAGGGGATGGGGGGAAGCAGGGAACGGGATGGGGGGAAGCAGGGAACGGGATGGGGGAAAGCAGGGAATGGGATGGGGGGAAGCAGGGAAGGGGACGGGGGTAAGCAGGGAAGGGGATGGGCGGAAGAAGGAAGTGGATGTGGGGATGCAGGGAAGGGGATGGGGGGAAGCAGGGAGGGGATGCGTGGAAGCAGAGGAGGGGGTTTCGTATCAGCAGCAAGGGTCGGCTATCTATACCCACCTGTCCAAGTCGCAGTCGGCTGCTTCGCCCTGGCTCGCTCTGGCACGTTAAAGAGTTTCAGCCACGCCGTTACTCTGCGCACGTCTACTCCCAACTGAGTAATGTCGCTGCTGTATGGTGCTGGGGGGTCGTGACCTCTCCACCTGCCCGCAGGTTGCCTCGTGTTTGCTTGTTCCAGAAAATCGAAGAACTGCTGCCACGCGTAGTTAGTCGGCGCCACAAGCAGCGCGCCGAGCGGCGAGTTCCGCGCGTTTATGACCTCCTGGTCCGCGCCCATGCCGCGCATCAGGCTCGCGGTCCACGTTAGCGAAGTCGTTGACGCGTTCGCGCCGCCGCCGAGGCTGGCGTCGTCGCGAATCAACGCATTATAGAGCGCCTCGGTAGAGTCTACGGCGGCTGCAGCCGCAGGATTCGCAGCGGCGAAAGCGGCGAGAGAGGGTAACACAGACGGGAAAAGCGACGACGCGAGGAGGATCGGGATCACTGCGCCCATCAATCTAGAAGCTAGTATTACTCGGAGATTATTCCTACCCGTAGACGTTGTAGGTGCATGGGTCGATGTGGAGTGTACGGATTGTACTAACAATGGGTCATCTACCACTGGACCCAAGGTCTGGACGATGGATACTACTAAGACGAACGGCGAGTTGGCGGGATGAGTCTACTCAAACCTCACACTGAACGGCGATGCGCGGAGTAAAGCACATGGTTTCGGAAAGGTCCGCGTTACCCTGCCAAGTACGGATCGTTGCAAGCGTGGGCGAATATCCGAAACAGGGCGACGAGGGGCATTGTCAACGACCTCGCTTGCATGCGAGTAATGGGAGCTGGAACAGAAGGCGTTGCGACGTCGCGACAGTTGCCATCTGAACGTGGTGTACCAGCATCCTAACCATACCAATGAGAATATAGCAGGACATGCCGCGTGTGTTCGTACACGAGTTTTGGTGTGTCAAAGGAGTTATTCTATGAGCGTGAAAGTCGGGTGAACCAGGTTTAGTATGCTTGCCACTTAGTACAAGATGGTTTTCAAGTTTACTGAGCGTGAACAGTGCTGCATTGCAAGCGGACCCCTCTCCCTGTGAGACTTTGAGTGTCGCTGGCCAATCACGGATCACTGTCGCACACCAGTTCCCCTTGATTGTGAAAGAGTGCTCAACTTCGGGTGGTAACATGGTGTTTGGCGAATTCATATTCAAGAATCTTGAATATGAAAACAGCCATGTGGAACTCGGGCCCAAATTGCGAGCCGCGCTGGGCAACCTTAGTAAGGTTGATTGATAGTTGTTTTGCAGGTGCTGGTTTTGCGAATTGAGGTTACGGGTTGTACGAAGGAAGTTGATTGGCTAGTCAATTTGAAACACTGAGCTGATTGGCTAGCAAAATTGAAACAGTGTTTGCGGAGGGGGTTGGGTGGGAAACTGGCAAGGATAGTATTTGTGCAATATGGGACTCATGCAACCAAACGCGAAGTGGCCCCTGGGGTCTACTGAGTCAGCGAAATGTGTTTGAGATTGGCGAGAAGTTGGGCGAAACCAAAGCCCTCAACCCACCCAACACCTCGACTAGCCAACCCTGCTCCCTCACCTCCCAACATGCGACTTTAGTAAAGTTGTACAATTTGGGCCGTGAGCTTTAAGCTGTGCATACAGTGCAACTTCTTCAGAAGCAGGCAGTCTTTAGGAGCAAGCAGTGCCAGAGCAAGGGCCATGAATAATGTACATCATTATCACAGAAATGCTTCTTGGGCATCTGATGTTCACCATTGCCTGCGAAGTAGTCGACGCATTATGCGCCTTCGTGTATGTTCTGACCGTACAGCAACAGCAAACAACCGTGGGACCATAGCAGAGAGGCCTAAAAGGAGTACAAGAGGCAACAGAAAGTGCAGATGCGGCAGCGGCATCTGCAGTCGTGAGACGAGATGAGATGCCATATGTGTGGTGGGGTGGTATGGCGTGAGTGAAACTGGAAGAGGAAGTGGAGGAGGTGTGGGAGGTGGAGGGAAAGTGAAGGTGAAGGGCGGTTGCAAGCGGTGGGGAAACTTGTGGAGGGTGTCTGGGAGGAGAGCGAGGAAAGAGATGAAGAGTGCTGTCCATGAGTTGACCACCTCCTGCATGCATCCATTTCATTGGAGGAGGCATAGGGGAGGAAAGAAGGCAAGGCAAAGGTAAGGGATAGTACAGGCAGGCAGGCACGAAGTGATGAAGAGTGCTGTCCATGAGTTCACAACCTCCTGCATTTCATTCATTTCATTGGAGGAGGCACAGGGAAAGAAAGAGAGGGAGGGCAAATGTAAGGGACATGCCTAATAGGCATGAAGTGAAAGCACGTGCCAAGCAAGGCAGTGACGCAACTTGTGGCAGAAAGTGCTGCTGTAGTGGTGTGAATCAGGAACCATGCACCAGGTCAAGTAGACTTCTGAGTCGACTCAAAAGTCACCTCTGTAGTGGTGTGAATCGGGAAACATGCACTGTGTCAAGTCCTTTCAAAAAGAGCACGGTAACTACTCTATGGGTACCTGGAACTTATCAGTTGTGATCGGGTTGAAGAGGGGGAAGCAGTCGGAGGTGGGAAAACTCTCATCTCCAAATGTCTGGTGATTAACCGAGGAAATGGAGGCGGCGATGTGGTTAGAAGCGAAGGGATGGGTGAAGGGATGGGTGAAGGGATGGGTGAAGGGATGTGATGTGGCCGAAGGCCCAAGTGCAGTCAGGGTGTGTGCGTGTGGGGGGATGGGGGATGGGGGATGGGGGATGGAGTGGAGTCAGCGCACGTGGAGCGATGGATTAAAGTTAGAGAAAATAAGCAAGACGCGGAACAAGGTGAATGGAAGAAGGAGGTGCAGGCTCTGTAGCAGGGCACTGTAGACTGCGATAGGGAAAGAGAGAATGAGACAACGCAGGACTGAAACAAAGCACGGAAGGAGAATAAAAACGTCCATCAGCTAGAATGCTGTCCGTCACCTCAAACTTGATTTCTGAGGCGCCTCAACTGTTCAGCTGTGCTGCAAGGGTGCTCTCACCTCAAACGTGAAGGCAAGTGGCACTCGCAGCACATCGTACATCCAGTCAGTGGCCGTGCCGTGGGCAAAGTACCTACAGGGGGGGATGGGGGGTGTGGGGGAAGGAGGAAACAGCATTTTAAAACCTTGCTGACAACAGTCGGAGCACATCGTACATTCAGTCAGTGGCTGTGCTGTGCCACGGGCAAAGTACCTACAGGGGGGGATGGGGGGTGTGGGGGAAGGAGGAAACAGCATTTTAAAACCTTGCTGACAACAGTCGGAGCACATCGTACATTCAGTCAGTGGCTGTGCTGTGCCACGGGCAAAGTACCTACAGGGGGGGATGGGGGGTGTGGGGGAAGGAGGAAACAGCATTTTAGAACCTTGCTGACAACAGTCGGAGCACATCGTACATTCAGTCAGTGGCTGTGCTGTGCCACGGGCAAAGTACCTACAGGGGGGGATGGGGGGTGTGGGGGAAGGAGGAAACAGCATTCTAGAACCTTGCTGACAACAGTCGGAGCACATCGTACATTCAGTCAGTGGCTGTGCTGTGCCACGGGCAAAGTACCTACAGGGGGGGATGGGGGGTTTGGGGGAAGGAGGAAACAGCATTTTAGAACCTTGCTGACAACAGTCGGAGCACATCGTACATTCAGTCAGTGGCTGTGCTGTGCCACGGGCAAAGTACCTACAGGGGGGGATGGGGGGTGTGGGGGAAGGAGGAAACAGCATTTTAAAACCTTGCTGGCAACAGTCGGAGCACATCGTACATTCAGTCAGTGGCTGTGCTGTGCCACGGGCAAAGTACCTACAGGGGGGGATGGGGGGTGTGGGGGAAGGAGGAAACAGCATTCTAAAACCTTGCTGACAACAGTCGGAGCACATCGTACATTCAGTCAGTGGCTGTGCTGTGCCACGGGCAAAGTACCTACAGGGGGGGATGGGGGGTGTGGGGGAAGGAGGAAACAGCATTTTAAAACCTTGCTGGCAACAGTCGGAGCACATCGTACATTCAGTCAGTGGCTGTGCTGTGCCACGGGCAAAGTACCTACAGGGGGGGATGGGGGGTGTGGGGGAAGGAGGAAACAGCATTCTAGAACCTTGCTGACAACAGTCGGAGCACATCGTACATTCAGTCAGTGGCTGTGCTGTGCCACGGGCAAAGTACCTACAGGGGGGGATGGGGGGTGTGGGGGAAGGAGGAAACAGCATTCTAGAACCTTGCTGACAACAGTCGGAGCACATCGTACATTCAGTCAGTGGCTGTGCTGTGCCACGGGCAAAGTACCTACAGGGGGGGATGGGGGGTGTGGGGGAAGGAGGAAACAGATTTTTAAATGTTGCTGACAACAGTCGGAGCACATCGTACATTCAGTCAGTGGCTGTGCTGTGCCACGGGCAAAGTACCTACAGGGGGGGATGGGGGGTTTGGGGGAAGGAGGAAACAGATTTTTAAAACATTGCTGACAACAGTCGGAGCACATCGTACATTCAGTCAGTGGCTGTGCTGTGCCACGGGCAAAGTACCTACAGGGGGGGATGGGGGGTGTGGGGGAAGGAGGAAACAGCATTTTAAAACCTTGCTGACAACAGTCGGAGCACATCGTACATTCAGTCAGTGGCTGTGCTGTGCCACGGGCAAAGTACCTACAGGGGGGGATGGGGGGTGTGGGGGAAGGAGGAAACAGCATTTTAAAACCTTGCTGACAACAGTCGGAGCACATCGTACATTCAGTCAGTGGCTGTGCTGTGCCACGGGCAAAGTACCTACAGGGGGGGATGGGGGGTGTGGGGGAAGGAGGAAACAGCATTTTAAAACCTTGCTGACAACAGTCGGAGCACATCGTACATTCAGTCAGTGGCTGTGCTGTGCCACGGGCAAAGTACCTACAGGGGGGGATGGGGGGTGTGGGGGAAGGAGGAAACAGCATTTTAGAACCTTGCTGACAACAGTCGGAGCACATCGTACATTCAGTCAGTGGCTGTGCTGTGCCACGGGCAAAGTACCTACAGGGGGGGATGGGGGGTGTGGGGGAAGGAGGAAACAGCATTCTAGAACCTTGCTGACAACAGTCGGAGCACATCGTACATTCAGTCAGTGGCTGTGCTGTGCCACGGGCAAAGTACCTACAGGGGGGGATGGGGGGTTTGGGGGAAGGAGGAAACAGCATTTTAGAACCTTGCTGACAACAGTCGGAGCACATCGTACATTCAGTCAGTGGCTGTGCTGTGCCACGGGCAAAGTACCTACAGGGGGGGATGGGGGGTGTGGGGGAAGGAGGAAACAGCATTTTAAAACCTTGCTGGCAACAGTCGGAGCACATCGTACATTCAGTCAGTGGCTGTGCTGTGCCACGGGCAAAGTACCTACAGGGGGGGATGGGGGGTGTGGGGGAAGGAGGAAACAGCATTCTAAAACCTTGCTGACAACAGTCGGAGCACATCGTACATTCAGTCAGTGGCTGTGCTGTGCCACGGGCAAAGTACCTACAGGGGGGGATGGGGGGTGTGGGGGAAGGAGGAAACAGCATTTTAAAACCTTGCTGGCAACAGTCGGAGCACATCGTACATTCAGTCAGTGGCTGTGCTGTGCCACGGGCAAAGTACCTACAGGGGGGGATGGGGGGTGTGGGGGAAGGAGGAAACAGCATTCTAGAACCTTGCTGACAACAGTCGGAGCACATCGTACATTCAGTCAGTGGCTGTGCTGTGCCACGGGCAAAGTACCTACAGGGGGGGATGGGGGGTGTGGGGGAAGGAGGAAACAGCATTCTAGAACCTTGCTGACAACAGTCGGAGCACATCGTACATTCAGTCAGTGGCTGTGCTGTGCCACGGGCAAAGTACCTACAGGGGGGGATGGGGGGTGTGGGGGAAGGAGGAAACAGATTTTTAAATGTTGCTGACAACAGTCGGAGCACATCGTACATTCAGTCAGTGGCTGTGCTGTGCCACGGGCAAAGTACCTACAGGGGGGGATGGGGGGTTTGGGGGAAGGAGGAAACAGATTTTTAAAACATTGCTGACAACAGTCGGAGCACATCGTACATTCAGTCAGTGGCTGTGCTGTGCCACGGGCAAAGTACCTACAGGGGGGGATGGGGGGTGTGGGGGAAGGAGGAAACAGCATTTTAGAACCTTGCTGACAACAGTCGGAGCACATCGTACATTCAGTCAGTGGCTGTGCTGTGCCACGGGCAAAGTACCTACAGGGGGGGATGGGGGGTGTGGGGGAAGGAGGAAACAGCATTTTAGAACCTTGCTGACAACAGTCGGAGCACATCGTACATTCAGTCAGTGGCTGTGCTGTGCCACGGGCAAAGTACCTACAGGGGGGGATGGGGGGTGTGGGGGAAGGAGGAAACAGCATTTTAGAACCTTGCTGACAACAGTCGGAGCACATCGTACATTCAGTCAGTGGCTGTGCTGTGCCACGGGCAAAGTACCTACAGGGGGGGATGGGGGGTGTGGGGGAAGGAGGAAACAGCATTTTAAAACCTTGCTGACAACAGTCGGAGCACATCGTACATTCAGTCAGTGGCTGTGCTGTGCCACGGGCAAAGTACCTACAGGGGGGGATGGGGGGTGTGGGGGAAGGAGGAAACAGCATTTTAAAACCTTGCTGACAACAGTCGGAGCACATCGTACATTCAGTCAGTGGCTGTGCTGTGCCACGGGCAAAGTACCTACAGGGGGGGATGGGGGGTGTGGGGGAAGGAGGAAACAGCATTTTAAAACCTTGCTGACAACAGTCGGAGCACATCGTACATTCAGTCAGTGGCTGTGCTGTGCCACGGGCAAAGTACCTACAGGGGGGGATGGGGGGTGTGGGGGAAGGAGGAAACAGCATTTTAAAACCTTGCTGACAACAGTCGGAGCACATCGTACATTCAGTCAGTGGCTGTGCTGTGCCACGGGCAAAGTACCTACAGGGGGGGATGGGGGGTGTGGGGGAAGGAGGAAACAGCATTTTAAAACCTTGCTGACAACAGTCGGAGCACATCGTACATTCAGTCAGTGGCTGTGCTGTGCCACGGGCAAAGTACCTACAGGGGGGGATGGGGGGTGTGGGGGAAGGAGGAAACAGCATTTTAAAACCTTGCTGACAACAGTCGGAGCACATCGTACATTCAGTCAGTGGCTGTGCTGTGCCACGGGCAAAGTACCTACAGGGGGGGATGGGGGGTGTGGGGGAAGGAGGAAACAGCATTTTAAAACCTTGCTGACAACAGTCGGAGCACATCGTACATTCAGTCAGTGGCTGTGCTGTGCCACGGGCAAAGTACCTACAGGGGGGGATGGGGGGTGTGGGGGAAGGAGGAAACAGCATTTTAAAACCTTGCTGACAACAGTCGGAGCACATCGTACATTCAGTCAGTGGCTGTGCTGTGCCACGGGCAAAGTACCTACAGGGGGGGATGGGGGGTGTGGGGGAAGGAGGAAACAGCATTTTAAAACCTTGCTGACAACAGTCGGAGCACATCGTACATTCAGTCAGTGGCTGTGCTGTGCCACGGGCAAAGTATCTACAGGGCTTTTGAGGCGCCTCAAAAGACGGGCAATGTACCCGCGGAAGAGGGAGAATGGAGGGACGGGCGTGGCAAAGGGAGTGCGGTTGTTTAGAAAGTTTTTTAAATGAAATGGTTGGGTGGGGAGCAGTTTCAAGCACTACGCACATCGTACGTCCAGCAAGTGGTTGTGTGCTATGTGCAAAGCAACTGCAAGGGAGGAAGGCTGACGAGGGGAAGGTGTGGGAGAGAAGGGGTGGGAGGGAGAGAAGGTGTAGAGGGTGTGAGCGAGCACTGAGTACATTTTAATGCCACGCTGACAACACTCGGAGCACGTCGTTCATCCCATCAGCAGGAACACCAAGAGAAGATTCCCTTCAGCACCGCAGTCAACCTCACAGCACCACGTGCAACCTTGCGGAACTCACCCCACAAAGCCCCCACCAGAGCCGATGACACAGCGAGCACCACAGTGAGCTGCATCGAGGCGCTCCAAGAGAGACTGGCGAAGGAGTGAGGGGAGAGAAGAGGGGGAAGGGGTGCGGCATGAACGTGATATGGTGTCACAGCGAGCACCACAGTGTGCCGAATGCATCCAGACGCTCCAAGAGGGACTGGCGAGGGGAGAGAACTAGGAGGGGGGAAGGAATGCACTTGGAAGCTGTAAGGCTGTGATTCCAGTCACAGAATGTCAAAGAATGACAGAGCGAGCAGCACAGTGAGATGCATCCAGGCGCTTCAAGAGGGAGTGGCGAAGGGAGAGAGAGAGGAGCCACACTTCTCATGGCATTGGCATGAGAGAGGGGCATGAGATGTATGTGGCATGGCAATGCAGCGAGCACTGCAGAGCGGATGTGAATCAGACGTGATTGGAACGACGACAGGAACGACGGCAAGGAAATTGACCATGATTTGTGTGCCTCCCCCTCCTCTCCTCCTTCCCACGTGTGCAGCCGGCATGCACACCATTCCCCCAAACAAACACACACACTCCCTTCCTCTCTCTCCCTCCCCCTTCTAACATGCAAGGCAGCGAGCGTTTTCTCATCCCATCCACCGTTTTCTCATCCCATCCACCGTTGTCTCATCCCATCCACCGTTTTCTCATCCCATCCACCGTTGTCTCATCCCATCCACCGTTTTCTCATCCCATCCACCGTTTTCTCATCCCGTCCACCGTTTTCTCATCCCGTCCACCGTTTTCTCATCCCGTCCACCGTTTTCTCATCCCGTCCACCGTTTTCTCATCCCCTCCACCGTTTTCTCATCCCCTCCACCGTTTTCTCATCCCGTCCACCGTTTTCTCATCCCGTCCACCGTTTTCTCATCCCCTCCACCGTTTTCTCATCCCATCCACCGTTGTCTCATCCCGTCCACCGTTGTCTCATCCCGTCCACCGTTGTCTCATCCCGTCCACCGTTGTCTCATCCCGTCCACCGTTGTCTCATCCCGTCCACCGTTTTCTCATCCCGTCCACCGTTGTCTCATCCCGTCCACCGTTGTCTCATCCCGTCCACCGTTTTCTCATCCCCTCCACCGTTGTCTCATCCCGTCCACCGTTTTCTCATCCCCTCCACCGTTTTCTCATCCCGTCCACCGTTTTCTCATCCCCTCCACCGTTGTCTCATCCCGTCCACCGTTGTCTCATCCCGTCCACCGTTGTCTCATCCCGTCCACCGTTGTCTCATCCCGTCCACCGTTTTCTCATCCCGTCCACCGTTTTCTCATCCCGTCCACCGTTTTCTCATCCCGTCCACCGTTTTCTCATCCCGTCCACCGTTTTCTCATCCCGTCCACCGTTTTCTCATCCCGTCCACCGTTTTCTCATCCCCTCCACCGTTTTCTCATCCCCTCCACCGTTTTCTCATCCCGTCCACCGTTGTCTCATCCCGTCCACCGTTTTCTCATCCCCTCCACCGTTTTCTCATCCCCTCCACCGTTTTCTCATCCCATCCACCGTTTTCTCATCCCTTCCACCGTTTTCTCATCCCGTCCACCGTTTTCTCATCCCCTCCACCGTTTTCTCATCCCGTCCACCGTTGTCTCATCCCCTCCACCGTTTTCTCATCCCGTCCACCGTTTTCTCATCCCCTCCACCGTTTTCTCATCCCGTCCACCGTTGTCTCATCCCCTCCACCGTTGTCTCATCCCCTCCACCGTTTTCTCATCCCCTCCACCGTTTTCTCATCCCGTCCACCGTTTTCTCATCCCGTCCACCGTTTTCTCATCCCGTCCACCGTTTTCTCATCCCGTCCACCGTTTTCTCATCCCGTCCACCGTTTTCTCATCCCATCCACCGTTTTCTCATCCCGTCCACCGTTTTCTCATCCCATCCACCGTTTTCTCATCCCATCCACCGTTTTCTGCATCTCCCTGGCGAGCCAGAGGAGTGAGAAGCGCTTCCATGCCCGAATGCACGCTCACCGCTCGTGCAACTAGCCAGACACCCTTACCTTCCCCTCATTGCCCTCTCAACCCCTCCTGCCCTCCCTTCCTCTGTTCCTCCTTCCCCCCCAACTTCCTCTCATGCATGGAAGCGAGTGTGCTCCCATCAACACCATCCCTCCCCCCATCCCAGGGGAGTGAAAAGAGCGTCTATGCCTGAATGCACATTCACCCACACCTTCACCCACACGTTCACCCACACGTTCACCCACACGTTCGCCCACACGTTCGCCCACACATTCGCCCACACGTGCACACTACTTCTCCCTCCCTGCATTCTCCACTCACATGCACACTACTTCTCCCTCCCTGCATTCTCCACTCACATGCATGGCAGCGAGCGTGCTCCCATCCACGCCATCCCCGCGGTGGTCCAGGGGAGTGAAAAGAGCCTCCATTCCCGAATGCACGTTCACCCACACGTGTGGGCGGAACCACACTGCAAGCTGTCGCATCGCGTCTGCCTCTGGCTCGCTGAACGCGTGCGTGCCAGGAGCCTCCTCCAGAGGGTTGTAGTCCTGAGGGTGGGGGCGAGAGAGCAAGAGAGAGCAAGAGAGAGCAAGAGAGAGCAAGAGAGGGCAAGAGAGAGCAAGAGAGAGCAAGAGAGAGCAAGAGAGAGCAAGAGAGAGCAAGAGAGAGCAAGAGAGAGCAAGAGAGAGCAAGAGAGCAAGGCAGGAGAGGGAGAGTGTGTGTGTGTGTGTGAGTGGCGAGCTTGGTTCACCACACCACATGTGCAGGCCCGGCCACACTGGCAGCTGCCTCATTGCCTGCCTCTGCCTCGCTGCACGCGTGGGTGCCAGGAGCTTCCTCTAGCGGGTTGTAGTCCTGGGGGGGCGAGAGAGCGAGAGAGCAAGAGAGCAAGGCAGGAGAGAGGGGTTGTGCGTGCCAGGAGCTTCCTCTAAAGGGTTGTAGTCGTGGGGAATCAAAGAGGGAGTGAGGGGGATGAGGGAGAGTGAGACTACTGATGGATTCCAATCAGCCACACCGCCAGTTGCCTCATTGCCTCTGCCTCTGGCTCGCTGAATGCGTGCGTTCCAGGAGCTTCCTCTAAAGGGTTGCAGTCCTGAGAACCAGAGAGGGGAGAGGGGGCGAGAGCAAGAGAGCACGTCAGGAGAGAGGGGCTGTGTGTGAATGGCGAGGTTGGTTCACGGTTCATTTTGAGGCGCCTCAAAATACACCTCAATGCACGCGGATTTCATACGGAGAGGATTATTACAGCTTGGAAATGTTCGTGTAACTTGCAAAAGTTACTGGTGCGCGCGCGGTTACATCAACGAATTGGTTGACGAAGATCTTCTCGAGGGCTGACTTTGCACCCTGGGTGTACCCCATTTGCTTAGCTGGCCGAGTGACTTGTCACTCTGGGTAGTTGGTTGTACATTTGTAGATCTCGAGGGCAGTTGCTAGCTACTTAGCCTGCTTCTGTCCGAACTCTTTCTTTTGTGGATCTGGTAGCTTACTGATGAAGGCTTAGCGGGTTGGAGACCCGTGAGCCGAAACTAGTTTGAGCTGTAAAGATCCTCGTTAGTAAAGGGTTTCTAAGGTTTCTACTGATCGTTTTTCCAGGAAAGAATTTCTGTTTCGTTTCCTTTTGTTGCTTTAAGCGTCACTCTTTAGAATTGCTGCTCTTCCACTATGAGCGAAGACCCTTGGGACATTGAATGGTTTCCAACTGAAGAGAAAGACGCCGATTCTGAAGAACGCAACTCGTTGAAAAGGCAGCGTAGGAGTGGAAACAAGTCGCGTTCTGCTCGAAAGGCTTCCGGGCAGTGGCAGACCGGCAACAAATTTCCGCAACTGGCGTTAACCTATGAACCGATTCTACGAAGTGAGCAACCACGTGATCCTCCCGCTGGACCGTCGCGAATTCGTCCTACCGTCATGGCGGAACCCACTGACGCGACCCCCATCCAAGAACCTTTCAAGGGATGGCTTGCGACTGCAGTGAAGGATTTCCGGGACGATTTCAGGACTCTGCTTAAGGCGAAATCTAAGCTGAAGAAGATGAAGGAACTCGACGCTGAAGGAACGATTCTGCACAGCATCCGTACCAAAGCGGTCGATTTCCAGACGAAGATTGACTCTGTCAAGGAGAAATCCAAGGCGTCCGTTGCTGAGATCCATTTGGCGAATCAGAAGCGGATTCAGGCAGAGTTTATCGCCTCGAAAGCACTGGAGGTTGAGGAGATCGCGAAGATGGCTAACTCGCGTGTCACGACTCTGGCTACAAGGATGGAGGATTACATACAGGGGCTGAACGCGGATCCTGATTTGGTGGTGTCTGACGCTGCCAAGGAGAAATTTCGTTTACTCAAGGGACGCTGCATCGAGAAAGCCCAATCCGACATCGCTGCTGCCAAGGATGATCTTACCATCCGGGAGTTGGAAAGACAGCGTAAGATAGCTGCTGAGGATTTGAAGAAAGCTGCTGCGTCTGAGGAGGTGCAGGAGATGGAGTTAGAACCTGCGTTAGAGGAGATTCTCGCGAAGCAGGTTAAGAAGATTGAAGACAAACTTCGCAAGGAAATCACTGCGAAGGTTGAGGCCAGTCTTACGAAGAAGCTGCAGAAGAATCTCTCTCTTAAGGAGCAAGACCCTGCGCAGGCCGCTGCTGCTAATCCGAAGCAGAGGAGTACGGCGGGAAAGCAGAAAAGTCAGGAGAATGGCAACGCTGCACCTGCTGGATCCAAGCCGAGGAGGAAGCGTGGTGGGAAGAAAAAGAATCAGAAGCAGAATTCCAGCACCGACAAAGGCAAGCAGGCGGGAGGCCAAGTCAAATCTGATACGGCCAAGGGACCAAAAAACGGCGGAGGCGGCCCCGAAAAAGGGCCGCGCAAGAAGAACTAACCAGCCATGAGCTGGCCCTCCGTTGGTTTGGACGGCTGACGCCTCGACAAGCTGCGTTGCGCGTCCGTAACCGCGGAGTTCACAACCTCAGCGCCAAAATCTTATCTTCGGATGAGAAGACAGCGTTGGGGTTGGGATTGAAGTTCATCCCCACGCCCACCGTTTCCCTTTCGGCCGGAATTGAGCTTGATCAGCTTTTCCGGCAGATCTCGTTACATTTTTTCTTCAAGGATGCGGACGGTCCACCTAGGGATTCACGGTTTCGTGTGCGTAACCCGACGTGGCTGCCCGATCGGATGGTGATTCCGGAGCAGGTCTTCAAGGACTCGTCCTCTGACTTGTCCGTCTTGTTGAAGGCATCTCGGCCTGACCGACGTCGGAATCTTTCAGCTGGCGTTAGGAAGGCTTTGCGCACCATCGCTGCGGATCGAGACGTGGTGATTAAACCGGCTGACAAGAATGTTGGGATTACGGTGATGGACCGGGGACATTACATTCGGTTGTGCATGGAGCACCTAGGTGACAGCACGACTTACTCCCTGGTCTCTCACAATCCTACCGCTGAAGTCTACCAGAAGCTGCGTGAACTGCATAGCGTTTGGGGCCCTGCTTTTCCCGAAACTTTGTGGAAGTACTTTTTCAATCAGCCGCCTGGAGGATGGAAACCCGCGGCTTTCTACATTTTGCCGAAGCTGCATAAGAAGGATCTCGTGGGACGCCCGATCGCCGCCTCACACTCATGGGTGACTTCTAACGTTAGCCGTTGGCTCGATGCTGAATTACGACCGTGGGTTTTGCAGCAGCAGACATACCTCCGCGATTCCCTCTCGCTACTCTTGAAGCTGGAAGAGACCGCCTTCCCGAAAGGGATCTTCTTAGCCACCTACGACGTTACTGCTCTCTACCCCAGTATCCCATTAAGGAGAGGTATCGACGCAGTGAGTAGCATTCTTCAGAGTGGGAAATATCATAATCACCTCCCGGTCATTGCCCTGCTGGAGTGGGTGATGATGAACTCGATTGTTGAGTTCGACGGCCAATTGTACCTGCAGCGACAAGGGACTGCTATGGGAACTCCTGCAGCAGTATGTTTCGCGGTGCTGTTCATGAGCCGTTTGGACGAGGTGCTGAGACGCAGGTGGTCCGGGACGCAGCCGTTGTGCCACGTGAGATACATCGACGATGGCTTCATTGTTTGGCCAGGTTCTCGGAACGAGTTGGAGTGTTACCTCAGTACCTTCAACGAATTGGATCCCAACATCAAGTTGACGTGGCACATCTCGGACTCCTCGGCAGACTTTCTTGACATGGTCATCTTCAAAGGACCACGTTTTGCCGAGAAGGGTAACTTGGATCTGAAGACTTTTCAGAAACCCATGAACAGTTACTTGTACCTGCCGTTTTCTTCATACCACCCGCGACACTGCAAGGTCAGCTTCATCCGTGCAGAACTGAAGCGTTACTTACTACGTTCGACCTCTGCCAAAGCTTTCCTAGCCTCTAAGCACGCGTTTTTCCAACGGCTTAGAAGTCGCGGATATCCTGGAGACTTCCTTCTACCCATCTTTCGGAGTGTGTTTTTTCGAAACCGCCCTCTCCTTTTGGAGACCACTGCTGCGCGCCAAGCTCTCAAGCTCAACTCTCTCCCCCAACGCGGACCCCTAGTCTTGAAGACTCTGTTCACCCCGGTGACAGCCCGTCTCAGGCTGGGGGTCCTTTTGAGGCGCCTCAAAATACACCTCAATGCACGCGGATTTCATACGGAGAGGATTATTACAGCTTGGAAATGTTCGTGTAACTTGCAAAAGTTACTGGTGCGCGCGCGGTTACATCAACGAATTGGTTGACGAAGATCTTCTCGAGGGCTGACTTTGCACCCTGGGTGTACCCCATTTGCTTAGCTGGCCGAGTGACTTGTCACTCTGGGTAGTTGGTTGTACATTTGTAGATCTCGAGGGCAGTTGCTAGCTACTTAGCCTGCTTCTGTCCGAACTCTTTCTTTTGTGGATCTGGTAGCTTACTGATGAAGGCTTAGCGGGTTGGAGACCCGTGAGCCGAAACTAGTTTGAGCTGTAAAGATCCTCGTTAGTAAAGGGTTTCTAAGGTTTCTACTGATCGTTTTTCCAGGAAAGAATTTCTGTTTCGTTTCCTTTTGTTGCTTTAAGCGTCACTCTTTAGAATTGCTGCTCTTCCACTATGAGCGAAGACCCTTGAGAGCAAGAGAGCACGTCAGGAGAGAGGGGCTGTGTGTGAATGGCGAGGTTGGTTCACGGTTCACCCACACCCACACCCACACCCACACCCACACCCACACCCACACCCACACCCACACCCACACCCACACCACACCACACGTGTGGCCGGAGCCACACTGCAAGCTGCCGGATCGCCTCTGCCTCTGGCTCGCTGAATGCGTGCGTGCCAGAGGCCTTCTCTAACGGGTTGTAGTCCTGGTGGGCCAGATGATAAGGGGTGAGGGAGTGAGGGGGGATGAGGGAGAGGAGTGAGACAACTGATGGGTTACAATCAGCCACACTGCCAGCTTCCCACTGGCTCGCTGAACGGGTGGGTGCCAGGAGCCTCCTCGAGTGGATTGTTGTAGTCCTGGTGGGTGATGCGGATCAGTATGGAAGGTGTGGTGCGGTGCGGCATGGTATGGTGCAGCATGGTGCGGTGTGGCATGGTATGGAATCCTACCTTTTCTTTCACGCCCCAGTCGCAGTCCCAATTTCTGTTGATGTCCACACCACGACCTGCCAAGGGGGATGGGCATGGGTCATGGGCCATGGGAGAAGGGCCACGGGTGATGAGCGATAGGGAGGGGCGAGTGAACAGCAGGAGGTCTGAGTCAATGTGCGCAGCTCTTGAGTGAGAGAGAGTCGCAGCTCTTGAGTGAGAGAGAGTCGCAGCGCAGTCAATGTGCTCACTCAAGAGCTGCGACTCTCGTGGCTCAAGTATGCCAGAAGAACAAGCCACGCAAGAACAGTCCCTGTCACGTAATCTGTTGGATGTTAAGAAAGGCAACCATTCCACATCATGTGATCCGGATTTACGTGATCGCCAATCAAGCGATTGGAATTCACGTGATGAGATTTGATGAGCACAATTCACTTGATTGGGATTCATGCGATCATGATTCACTCTTCAAAATTCACGCAACCGTGGAGTGGAGTGCCACATCCAGTCGTGGAGTGGAGTGCCGCATCCAGTTCCACTCCACAGTTCCACTCCACAGTTCATGCGTATGAAGATTTGTTTTGAGACGTCTCAAAACAAATCTTCAACCGTGGAGTGCCGCATCCAGTTCCACAGTTCATGTAATCCCCAATTTGAAATTAAGGCGCCTCCAATTTTGGGGATTCACATATTTGTGGAGTGCCCCAAATCCAGTTCCATGATTCGTGTGATCCCGTACGTACGCGACAGTCCCAATTCCTGCTGGGGTTGCCACATCTTCTGCATTGGAGCACATGTGTGCTCCATGCTGCAACCCCGCTCTTCGTTACAATAGAACTCTCCTTCCCGTTACCTCTCTCCTTGCTGTTACATCCCCACTCACCGTTTCGTCGTTCACAAAGCTCTCCTGCTTCCACCTTCTTGCGCCCGTTCACATTCGCCATGGGCACCACCTGCCAGCAACAGGCAACAGAGCAGAGCACGCACAAAGAAAACCATTCTTCAAGCGCCTGAGGCGCCTCAAAATGGGCACCACCTGCGAGCAACAGAGCAGAGCACGCACACAGAAAACCATTCTTCAAGCGCCTGAGGCGCCTCAAAATGGGCACCACCTGCGAGCAACAGAGCAGAGCACGCACAAAGAAAACCATTCTTCAAGCGCCTGAGGCGCCTCAAAATGGGCACCACCTGCGAGCAACAGGCATAATCCGATCCGATTGCAGGCAATCGAGCAGGCAACAGAGCAGAGCACGCACAAAGAAAACGCTCTCCATTCTTCAAGCGCCTCACAGCTCGCCCGCCTCCACCATTTTCCTCCCATTCACATTCTCCATGGGCACCACCTGCCAGTCATGCCAGTCATGCCAGTCATGCCAGTCATGCCAGTCATGCCAGTCATGCCAGTCATGCCAGTCATGCCAGTCATGCCAGTCATGCCAGTCATGCCAGTCATGCCAATCATGCCAGTCATGCCAATCATGCCAGTCATGCCAGTCATGCCAGTCATGCCAGTCATGCCAGTCATGCCAGTCATGCCAATCATGCCAGTCATGCCAGTCATGCCAGTCATGCCAGTCATGCCAGTCATGCCAATCATGCCAGTCATGCCAATCATGCCAGTCATGCCAGTCATGCCAGTCATGCCAGTCATGCCAGTCATGCCAATCATGCCAATCATGCCAGTCATGCCAGTCATGCCAGTCATGCCAGTCATGCCAATCATGCCAGTCATGCCAGTCATACCAGTCATGCCAATCATGCCAGTCATGCCAGTCATGCCAGTCATGCCAGTCATGCCAGTCATGCCACTCATGCCAGTCATGCCAGTCATGCCAGTCATGCCAGTCATGCCAGTCATGCCAGTCATGCCAGTCATGCCAGTCATGCCAGTCATGCCAGTCATGCCAATCATGCCAATCATGCAAGTCATGCCAGTCATGCCAGTCATGCCCGTCATGCCAGTCATGCCAGTCATGCCAGTCATGCCAATCATGCCAGTCATGCCAGTCATGCCACTCATGCCAGTCATGCCAGTCATGCCAATCATGCCAATCATGCCAGTCATGCCAGTCATGCCAGTCATGCCAGTCATGCCAATCATGCCAGTCATGCCAGTCATGCCAGTCATGCCAATCATGCCAGTCATGCCAGTCATGCCAGTCATGCCAGTCATGCCAGTCATGCCACTCATGCCAGTCATGCCAGTCATGCCAGTCATGCCAGTCATGCCAGTCATGCCAGTCATGCCAATCATGCCAATCATGCCAGTCATGCCAGTCATGCCAGTCATGCCCGTCATGCCAGTCATGCCAGTCATGCCCGTCATGCCAGTCATGCCCAAGAGCCATAGGATACGATATTCTGTACTCAGTCGTCGTCGACTCACAGGTCAACTCACCGTGATAACCAGGTGTGGCCAGATCAGAGCCAGTAGCTCCCACCTTATTCCACCCTCAGACCCCTCCTTCCCTCCCCCCTCCCTCCCCCCCTCCCCCTTCTCCTCCTCCACTTCCTCACTCTTCTCCTCTTCCCCTTCACCCTTCCCTTCCTTCTCTTCTCCCTCCGTAACTTCCTCCCCTCCTCCCGAATCGTCGTTTCTCCCCGGCCCTCCCTTCTCCACCACCTCTCTCTCCCCCACGAGAACCCTGAGAAGGTTAAAGCCCAGCTCGGTAGTGATGGCTTCCCTTCCGTGCTGCCCAAACACCTTGACCCTTGAGAGCAGGGGGTGGGAGGGGAGGGAAAGGGTAAGGGGAAGGGGAAAGAGCAGTGGTAGTGAGCGGCGAGTGAATGGGCAAATTAACACCACGAGGGCCCTGAGAAGGTTAAAGCCCAACTCAGTGGTGATGGCTTCTCGTCCGTGTTGCCCAAACACCATGACCCTTGAGAGCAGGGGGTGGGAGTGGGTGGGAGGGGGAAGGGCAGTGGGAAGAGGCAGGGTAGTGAGACACGAGTGAGTGAACAGAAATACCTCCTCCTTTCTTCGTCACTTCCCTCTCCGCCACCCCCCTTTCCCCAACGAGAAACCCGAGGGGAGGGGGTGGGGGCAGGGGGAAGAGGCAGGGATACTACTGAGGCAGGGACAGTGAAGCAGGGACAGACGAAAATACCCCTTCTTGCATTGTGCATTTCCCTCTCTCAACCACCTCATTCTCCCTCTCTCCACGAGGACCTTGAGTAGGTTTAAGCCCAGCTCAGTGGTGATCGCTTCTCTCCCATGCCGCCCAAACACCTTGAGCCTTGAGGACCACCCAGAACAGCACAATACTGTATGACTCATGAGAATTCTCAAAAGCCTCGAGGACCACCCAGGACAGGACAATACTGTATGACTCATGAGAATTCTCAAAAGCCTCGAGGACCACCCAGGACAGGACAATACTGTATGACATGAGAATTCTCAAAAGCCTCGAGGACCACCCAGGACAGGACAATACTGTATGACTCATGGGCGAGTCGGAAGCAAGAACCTACCTGTAGCAAATTGAACAAGTAACTTCATTAGAAGAGAAACCTAGCATACATAGTTGGAAGAGAGGCTTGGAAGAGAAGGGTGAAGGTGACCATAGGTTGGGTTGACCTCACTTGTAGAAGTGAGGCAACCCTAGGCCCACTTGGCTTGAGATGACCTCACTTGTGGGAAGTGAGGCACCCATAAGCCAAGTGGGTTGCATTTGGGGGCTCCACCACAATTGGGTGGATTGGCACCCCAAAGTGCAAGACTACACCCAAAGTTGGGTGTAGTCCCAACCCAACTGTACACCACAATTGGTGTACAGTCACATGTGTTGGCATGCTACACAACATATATTTTAACACAACCCCTTAGCATGCTAACACAGGAAGAGAACAACCCCTGAATCAAGGGGCGCCCGGGCGAGCGAGGCCGATGAGGCGGAGGAAAGCAGAGTGCGCAGGGCGAAGGAGGGCCTTAGTGAAGATGTCGGCCAAGTTGGCCTCGGTCGCAATCTTGCGAACGGCAATAAGGCCCTTCTGGACGAGCTCGCGAATGAAAAAGTAGCGGAGCTCGATGTGTTTGGAGCGGGCGTGATAGACGGGGTCCTGAGTGAGATGGATGGTGCTGGCATTGTCGCACCAGAGGGTGGGGCACGTCTGGGGGGCGCCAAGCTCTGCAAGAAGGAAACAAAGCCAGCGGGACTCCTGGGCGGCCATGGTGCCAGCGTAGAGCTCGGCCTCGCAGGTGGAGAGAGAGATGGCGGAGGAGCGGGTGGAGCTCCAGCTGATGAGGCCGCTGCCAAGGGTGAAGCCGTAGCCCTGGGAGGAGCGGCGGTCCGGCTGCGTGTCAGCCTAAGAGGAGTCACTGAAGCCCGAGAGAAGAGGAGGGGAAGGGCCGCCAAGGGTGAGGGCAAGGTCCTTGGTCCCGCGAAGGTAGCGGAGGACCCGCTTGGCAGCTTTCCAGTGCTCCTCAGTGTGACGACCGGTGCCGACAAAGCGGGCGAGCACGCTGATGGGGTAGGCGAGGTCGGGGCGGGTGCACATCATCGCGTACATCAGGGACCCAACGAGCTCGGCATAGGGGTGGGGGGAGGAGGTGGGGGAGGAGGGTGGTGCGAGTTGGTGGCCGAAAGGGAGGGGGGTGGAGACAGGCTTGGCCTGCGCCATGTCGAACTTCTCCAAGACCTGGCCGATGTAGTGGGACTGTGAGAGGGTGATGGTGCGAGCAGGGCGGTTGCGCGTGATGGCCATGCCCAGGTAGTGAGTGAGGGCGCCAAGGTCTTTGCACTTGAGACGCTGCTGCAGGGACAGCTTCATCTGCTCCATGTCGGCCCTGGTGTCTCGTCCACATACACCAGAATGAAGAATCGGCGGGGGGAGGAGCGGATGAAGAGGCTGGCGTCGGAGTGGGAAGCAGAGAAGCCGAGAGACCCTAAGGTGGCAGCCAGCTTCGCATGCCACTCACGCGGTGCCTGCTTCAAACCGTAGACAGGGCGGCGCAGCTGCCAGACAGTGTTCTCAGGGAAGGCTGCGTGGAACCCGAGGGGTCGCCGGAGGAAAATACGCTCGTGCAGGTCGCCCTGCAGGAACGCATTGGAGACGTCCATGGAATCGATCTCCATGTTGTCACGTGCGCCAATGTCGAGGGTGGCGCGAAGGGTGGGTGGTTTGGCGGTGGGGGCGTAGGTGAACCAGTAGTCCTCGGCCCAAGTCTGCGTGAACCCCTTGGCGCAGTAGCGGGCCTTGTACACCGGTTCCTCGCCCGGCAGCTGCTTCACCCGAAAGACCCATTTTCCGTCCACGAGGTTGGCGCCGGCTGGGAGGGGGACATCGACAAAGGAGTCGTTGCGAATGAATGCCTCACACTCCAGGAAGATCGCTGCTATCCATTTATCCGCGTCAGGGCAGGTGATGGCTTCCTGGAAGGTGGAGGGAGTGAAGATGGTGGGGGTGGTGGTGGCGCCAAGGACAGGAAAGCCCAGGAAGTCAAGGTAGAGGGAGGCAAGGAACGGAGTGTGCTCCCGAATGTTGAGGAACTCCTCATGGGAGTCCTCAAGGAGCTGAATGGAGGCAGGAGGAGGAGCCCCAAGGATTTTGTCCACCGAGCGGGTATGGATGTAAGGGAGGAGGAAGGGGGAGGAGCGGGAAGTGGCACGGCGCCGCTGCTGCTGCTGGTGCTGCTGAAGCTGCTGCCCTTGTTGTTGCGGCTGCTGCGGACCGTGCTGCTGCTGTGTCTGCTGCTGCTGACTGTGCTGCTGCTGCTGCTGCTGCTGCTGCTGCTGCTGCTGCTGCTGCTGCTGCTGCTATCCCGGTTGCTGCTGTTGCGGCTGCCCCGGCTGCTGCTGCTGCTGCTGCTGCTGCTGCTGCTGCTGCTGCTCCGGCTGCTGCTGCTGCTGCTGCCCCGGCTGCCGTTGCTGCTGCTGCTGTTGCCCCTGCTGCCGTTGCTGGTGTTGCTCCGGCTGCTGCTGCTGCTGCCGCGGCTGCTGCTGGTGCTGCTGCTGCCCCTGCTGGTGCTGATCCGGCTGCTGCTGCTGCTGCTGCTGCCCCTGCTGTTGCTGATCCGGCTGCTGGAAAGGAGGAGAATGAGAGGAGGAGGGAGAGGGGGGAGGGGGTGCAGTGGAGTGAGCGGGGGAGGCGGGTGCGGCAGGGTTGTAGACGTCGGCAGAGGAGGAAGGCGGGAGTGGAGCGGCGACAGGTGGGAGGAGAGGTGCTGGAGGGAGAAGAGGCGGGAGGACGGTGTCGGTCCAAGCGAGGGGGCGAGTGGGAGGAGGGAGGGGGTCAGGAGGAGGGGTGGAGTAGTAGGGAGTGGACTCGTCGAAGACGACGTCAATGCTGCGGATGAGGCGATTGGTGGGAGGGTGGAGGAATAGGTAGCCAGGGGAATCACGATTGTGCCCAAGGTAGACACACTCCAGAGCGCGAGGAGCGAGCTTGCCAGCAGCGCGGGAGCGGTCGGCCGGTGGAATGAGGACGAACGCCTTGCAGCCCCAAACACGAAGGCCTGCGGCGTCAGGCTTGGCCTTGGACCAGAGTTCTGTGGGGGAGGAGGAGGGATGCTGAGGGTGGGAGCGGAGATTGAGGAGGAGGGCGGCATGAATGAGAGCATAGCTCCAGAGGGAGGGAGGGGTGGAGGCGTGAGCAATGAGGCAGCGCGCAATCTTGGTGATCTCACGGATGCGACTCTCAGCGATGCCGTTTTGCTGAGGGGAGTGGGGAAGGGTGGAGGTCTGCTGAATGCCGTATGTTTTGCAGTAAGTGGAGAGAGTATGATTGATGAACTCACCCCCACCGTCAGAGTGAAGGCGGCCTATGGGACGTTTGAAGTGGTTGCGGCACTGCTCAGCCCAGTTGATGACCACAGCCGGCACCTGGTCTTTCGTGTGAAGAAAGAAGACGGTGGAGTACCGACTGTGGTCGTCGATGAGCACGAGCATGTACCTGTGCCCCTGACGAGAGCGGATGGGATAAGGGCCCCAGAGATCCATGTGAACAAGGTCAATGGGGGCGGGAGCGAAGGTGGGGTGACTGTGATGGGGGGACTGTTTGAGCTTGCCATGAATGCATGATGGGCATGGGGGAGCAGGGGAGGAGGGGAGGGGAGGTAAGGTGGGAGGAAGGCTGTTAAGGAGGCGAGAGGTGACGGTGGAGCGAAGTGCGGCGAAGTTGGGATGGCCGAGTCTGTGATGTAGGAGCACCGCAGGATGGGAGAGGGCAGTAGAGGAGGAGGGGGATGGGGTGGGGGAAAAGTTGGGGGGGGAGGAGGAGGCGGATGGAGTAGAGGAGGAGGATATCGGAAGGAGAGGGAGAAGGGGAGGGGGAGGGTGAGGGGGAAGAGGAGGGGGAGGGGGAGGGAGAAGGGGACCGGTGGAAGTACCAGCACGAGTGGTGACGTGACAAAAGGAGGGACGGGGTGTGCGGAGCGTGTAAAGGCGAGTGCGAGGGCAAAGGGGAATGCGCAGGAGGAAACGACCAGAGGCGGTGTGATAGAGATCGCAGTAGGAAGCAAAGCCAGGGTATATGGCGGTAATGCCAACGCCTTGGAGTTCACGGTGGGAGAGGAGGTTATTGCGAAGGGTAGGGATGTGGAGACCGGTGACTGTACCGGATGGGAAGGCGGTGCAAGGAAGGGTGGAGAGGTGAGTGCAGGGGATGGAAAAGCTGGAGTCGGCACCATGAACCTGGGTGGGAAGTGGGAGGGGGGTGAGGGTGCCAGCGTCTTTTAGTGCGGTTTCGGTGGCCCCACTGTCAAGGACAAAGTCCAGGGTGGGGGGGGAAGGAGAGGGAGGGAACACAGAGTACTGGAGAGTTGTTTCATGGATAGAAGAGGGAGAGAGCGGCGGGTGCTGCTGCTGTAAGTACTGTTGCTGCGGCGGCTGCTGCGGTGGGAGAGACTGTGGCGGTTGCGGCTGGAGAGATTGGGCTGCTGCTGCTGCTGGAAGCACCACCGATGCTGCTGCGGTTGCTGCGGCTGGAGAGATTGTGGTGGCTGCTGCTGCTGGAAGCACTGCTGCTGCTGCGGATGGAGAGAACTGTGGCTGGTGCTGCTGCTGGAAGCACTGCTGCTGCTGCGGCTGAAGAAACTGTGGCTGCCGCTGCTGCTGGAAGGACTGCTGCTGCTGCTGCGGCGGAAGGAACTGTGGCAGCTGCTGCTGCTGGAAGCACTGCTGCTGCTGCGGCTGGGGAAACTGTGGCTGCTGCTGCTGCAGGAAGGACTGCTGCTGCTGCGGCGGGAGGAACTGTGGCAGCTGCTGCTGCTGGAAGGACTGCTGCTGCTGCGGCTGGAAGGACTGCTGCTGCTGGGGATGGAGAAACTGTGGCGGGTGACGCTGGAGAGATTGCGGTTGCTGTCGGTGTTGGAAGAACTGCTGCTGCTGCGATTGCCGCGGCTGGAGGAGATGTGGGGGGTGTGGCTGGAGAAATTGTGGTTGCTGCCACTGCTGGAGGTGCTGCTGCTGCTGATGCTGGAGCTGCTGGAAACGCCGCAGATGGGGAGGGGGGGAGGAGGTGAGCAGGCGGAGATAAGGGGGGGGGGAGGAGTGGAGGGTCGGAGTGTTGAGAAGGGAGGGGCGAGGAGTAACACTGCTCCAGTGAGGAGGGGGGAGAGGGGCAGGGGGGGTAGCAGTCATGATGGGTGACGGCGGGTGGACCCGCGGCGGCCAAGGGTGAAGTTGCTGCTGCTGAGGCTGCTGCACTTCCCCTGCTGCCGCTGCTGCTGCCGCTGGCAGGAGGGAGGGGGGGGGTAAAGGAGGGAGACAGCGGTGGAGGGCAGAGGCGTTCAAGGTGCAGGGAGCGACGGTGACAAGGGCGCAGGCGGCTGTGCGAACGTGCGGCGGCGGGAAGGGGAGGCGGTGGCAAAGTCGGGGGCGGAGGCGGCAAGCAGGCCGCGACGACGAAGGGCGCAGGCGACAGCGGAAGGGCCGCGGCGGCGATGTTGAGAGCGGCGGCTGCAAGCAGGTTGCGGCGGCGGAAAGGTGAAGGCGGCGGGGAAATGGCTGCGGCGGCGAAACGAGGGACGGCGGCGGCAGGCAGGCCGCGGCAACGAGGGGCGCAGGGGGAGGGGGAGGGGGGGGGGAGAGGAGTAGGGAGAGGAGGAAGGGAGGGTGCAGTTGCGGCTGAATCTGCAGGCGGCGACGGGGCAGTCACGGCGGCAGGAAGTGTGGGCGGGGATGGCGCGGTCGCGGTGGAGGATGGGCAGGCGGCGCCGAAGCAGTGGCGGCGGCAGGGCGGCGGCGGCGCAGTCGCGTTAACGGGAACCGCGGGGCGACGATGTTGCAGTTGCGGCGGGGGAAATTGCGGGCGGGTGGCGATGCAGAAGGGGCAGCGAAATGCGTGGGTGACGCAGAAGCAGGTGCGGCGGTGGGAGGGGAGGCGGAAATGCGAAATCGCGGCGGGGGGGGGGGGGGGGGGGCGCGGGAAGGTGACGACGAGCAGTCGCGGCGGCGGAATGCGCAGGCGGCGATGTTAGGTCGCGGCGGCGGGACGGGCAGGGGGGCGACGAGCTGTCGCGGTGGCGGAATGCGCAGGCGGCGATGTTAGGTCGCGGCGGCGGGACGGGCAGGGGGCGACGAGCTGTCGCGGCGGCGGGACGGGCAGACGGCGCCGAAGCAGGCGCGGCGGCGGGAAGGGGAGGCGGCGACGTGACGTCGCGGCGGAGGGACGGGCAGGCGGCGACGAGGCGTCGCGGCGGCAGGATGCGCAGGCGGCGCTGAAGCAGGCGCGGCGGCGGGAACGCGACGACGAGACGTCGCGGCGGAGGGACGGGCAGGCGGCGACGAGGCGTCGCGGCGGCAGGATGCGCAGGCGGCGCCGTAGCAGGCGCGGCGGCGGGAACGCGGCGACGTGACGTCGCGGCGGAGGGACGGGCAGGCGGCGACGAGGCGTCGCGGCGGCGGGATGCGCAGGCGGCGCCGAATCAGGCGCGGCGGCGAGAGGGGGAGGCGGCGACAGGGGGTCGCGGCGGGGGGGAGGAGGGGACAGCGGCGTTGCGCTCGCGGCGGTGGTATCCGCAGGCGAGGAAGGCGTAATCGCGGCGGGAGGGGGGGGGGAACCTAAGTGGCAAAAGACGCTGGGCGCGTCATGCGTCACCGCTTCTCTCACCTTCCCCCGCCGCGTCATAATTTTTTTCGGGCTGACCGGATTTTTTTTGTTTTGTTTCCCGATCGCGAAGTTGACATTCGCGATTTCGACGCGAATGTCAATGTCGCGAAATTTCGACCCCCAGACCCATTTCGACCATCAAAAACAGCCCACACACAATTCTCCTTCGTAAACCCTTGAGGGTTTAGCTACCTTTCGCTCCATAGTGCTACCTTTCGCTCCATAGCTATGTTTTTGCCTCACATGTGTGATACGTCGTCCTCCCCCCCCTTCCCATGCCCTATAACGTGTTTTTTTGGCTGCCCGGGGGCTTCTTTTGCCCTGCCCGGGCCTGCGTCTTTTGCTGCGTCTCAAAGGCCCACATCATGCGTCCTGCGTCTAAGACGCTGCGTCTGGACGCACTCGTCTTAGACGCAGGACGCGTCTTTTGCCACTAAGGGGGGAACGGCGGCGACGGCGTAGGTCGCGGCGAGAGTATGCTAGTGATGGCTAGTTGAGCCACGCGTAGGAAAGGGTTTGTAGCTGTGGGGTGGGCCCATGGGGAAAAAAAAAAAAAAACTGAAGGGAGGGAGAGGTAAGGCCTAGGAACAAGTAGCTCTATACCATGTGAAAGTAGCAAATTGAACAAGTAACTTCATTAGAAGAGAAACCTAGCATACATAGTTGGAAGAGAGGCTTGGAAGAGAAGGGTGAAGGTGACCATAGGTTGGGTTGACCTCACTTGTAGAAGTGAGGCAACCCTAGGCCCACTTGGCTTGAGATGACCTCACTTGTGGGAAGTGAGGCACCCATAAGCCAAGTGGGTTGCATTTGGGGGCTCCACCACAATTGGGTGGATTGGCACCCCAAAGTGCAAGACTACACCCAAAGTTGGGTGTAGTCCCAACCCAACTGTACACCACAATTGGTGTACAGTCACATGTGTTGGCATGCTACACAACATATATTTTAACAGACAATACTGTATGACTCATGGGCGAGTCGGAAGCAAGAACCTACCTGCAGCACACACCCACACATAGGCTGGGCTTACAAGGAGAATCCGCAGCTTTCCCGACAGTTCGGCAGGGAGAACTGTAAAGAGCCCCTCCACTCAAGGTGTATGAAGGAGGCAGAAGGAGGAACCAACATACCTGCAGCAAACACGAGCTGTCGCCTGTACTTACAAGGAGGATGCGCAGCTTCCCAGAGAGCTCGGTAGGGAGAACCGTGGAAAGCCCCTCCACGCTGTCTGCACTGCTGCATGATGACGCGTTGCTGCCACCCCCCAGCCTCTTGAAGTATCGCGCGTCGCCACCGAAACCACTGAACACGCCCTCGTCTGCTGCTGCACCTTCCCCCGCTTCTCTCACCCCCGCCACCACATCACCGTTTGCAGTCGCCACGTCACTCTTTGCACTAGCCACGACACCCATTGCAAAAGCTACATCCCTGTCTGCTGCAGCCGAACCACCAGGCACATCTGTCCTCTTGTTCCCTGCATCAGAAGCTGATCGCACAAAAGACTCCTCGATAGCAGCACCTCTAGAAAAATCACCTTGCATTCCACTAGCATCAGCAGCTGCAGCAGCTGCAGCAGCTGCAGCCGTAGCACCAGCAGCAGCAGCAGCAGCAGCAGCAGCAGAAGCAGCAAGCGGTATCGACAGATCATGCTTCAGAGAGGCGGCAGGAAGTGGAGACGGCCTGCCAGGCTGAATGCTGCTCAGGTCTCGCCTGAGTGAGGAAGTTCTGAGCGCATCTGAGTGGAGAGCGGTTGTGAGGTTTGTAAGACCGCGCTCCCTGCTTACCGTACCCTCCCCACCTTCCCTTCCCTCACCAGGATTGCTCCCCTGGCTTCTTTCACTCCTCTCACTGCTGATGACTACACTGCTTCTGGAGCTAATGAGTCATCTGCGAGTGCTGCTGCTCGCCCCATCCTTCCTCCCCATCCAGTGTTTCCGTTCCAACCCTTCTGCGGTCTCATACCGTCCGTCCAAGCCCCTCCACCACTTTCCAAGCCTGAACTGGAAGTTCGGGCCGAGCCGGCATCCGAGGCTAGAGGTCTGTCAGTTTGGGACCGTGGCAGTGGGATGCGAGCACAGTGCAGCGTGACCGCAGTGAGGGTTGACTTGTACCCGCCAGAAGACTGAATCGTTATCTCGTTAAGCTGCATTGGTTGGATGACATTGCAGGAAAGCATACGGCAGGGAAAGGAAACAGAAGCATCCAATTGACGTCGCATCGTCCTGACTGAGACACAACTGACTCGAACTGAATCGACACATGCTCCTGCCTGTTCAAACCACTGCCTTGAGCCAGGAAGAGTTGCTCGTATCCCCATCGATGCAAAGACAAGGGCACAGCTCACCTCTGCAGCGTGGGGATGCCGGGCTGCAAGCGCGTGAATCTCGCGCAGCAATTCATCACTGCGTGGGACAGGAAAACCCGGTGAGCATAGGCAGGGGAGAATTCCGGGTAAGTAATATTTCTAAATGACACAAATAAACTTGGGGGGAAGAGAGGTTGCAGCCGCGGAAGGGAGAGAAGGCAAGGGAAAAGACCTCTGGGGTAAATGTATGCTGGGCCTAGAATAACACTTGATACAGCCGAAATAGTGGCTGCCAGAGCGAGGAATTGAACCTGTAACGAGGATCTCAACTTGGGACGTGGGTTCGAACCTGGAGTGGTAGAGGGTGAAATTGAACAGTGTGATCTTCGGTGGCTTGGTGGAAGCCCACGTGCACGGGTGTACCCTGACTAACTCGACTCAATCTACTATCGGATTCGAACCTGGAGTGGTAGAGGGTGAAGTTGAAGGGTGTGATCTTCGGTGGTTTGTCTCGCGTCTGACCCGTCGCATTAGGCGACTCTTGCGTCTCGGTAGTTTGTGAAGCGGAGTGAGCAGTACCGAGCAGAAATAGAAGAGCGATAAACGCCTGGAGATGCGGGGAATACGAAGCGGATTGAGAGGGATGGGTTGACGACGGCTTGTAAGGCCACTATCTGCGTCGGTCGTAGGACAGAAAGACACATGTGCTGCTAAGACGAGTTTCGCGTGCATTCTGTACGAGTTTCTGCGTACAATACCTTAGTGGTACAGCGGTGAAGGCGACGAAGGCGGAATGAATCATGGTGTAGACGCTGTAACGATCCAGTGGACCACATGAGGCCGTGCATTGCGGACAAGAACTTCTCGATCGCTCCTGGATTAGAACCTACTGTGCCGTCTATTTTCGTTCAGCGAATTTGCATGTCACGTGTCGCTTTGCTGCCATGGTTTTCGCCATTTATATTACGAGATGTTGGCTTTCTCCGCTAAGGAATGGTGGCTTTACGTGCAGATGCATTCAGGATCAACCATGGGTGTTCGTTCCTGAAGCAGTCTGGTAGTGTGACTTCACAAGCCAGGAGCGAAGCTAGCGCGAGGATTTTGGATCAGGACAAGCATCTGCAAGGCCAGGAACCGCTGTGCAGCATACTAAATTGCACGAAACCTTTTTCAACCGCCGCCGCTATCTCTGCTGAGCTGGTTACCACCTCGTGTCTGACAAGCGATTTGGAACCCTCGCCTCGCCTTCAACGGTCTGCGCCTTCCTGTCGCCTCGTTCGTGCAACACGAAGTGAAACGTCAACCAGTCGCCACCACGAAGTCCCAGTTGCCTGTTGTAGGTTTCGCTGAACGTGGCAGCATGGGTGCTGTCGCCATCGTTGTCGTCCACTAGTTCGCTGAACCCCCATATTGCAAAAATCAGGGCCAAGCAAAAATGGAAGGAACTTGTGGGCGAGGTGTTACTTCTCGTGAAGAGCACTACACCAGCTCACACCGTGCTAAAAATCAACTCAACAGACTGGACCGCCTACAACCTTCTTACTTGTATTGGTAGGGATACTGTATGCAGGCAAACTTCGAGGTTGACCAATGAACAATCCGAGTTTCCTTTTTGGTTGCTACTACTGTGTAAACAGCACGTACGAAGATCAACTCAACCACCTCCACCAAACACTTTCCCGCCATAATCTAGGTTCTGGTTAGCGATCTACTTTATTAGTTGTCTATCATAAGCGAGCGTAGCTGCTGTGGTCAGTACAGCCCAGTTGCTGACTTTAGTCTTCTCGTTATGCTCCCTCAGACTGTCTTTGCGATGTAGTACTTATATATTCACAGACGAACCAGATAAGAGAATCGAGTTATAGCTACCAGATTAATCCTCTCATGGAGAGGCACGACTGGAGCACCTATGTCACGCAGAAAGGATCGATCAGCATCAAGGTAAATGTTTGACGAAGGTCATCGTAGGTGAAAAGCGCATTGCTCCCTGGTCTGTGCCTTTGCTAAGTCCAGTCGACGCCAGTTTCCAAAGTTCTCGAAGCATGATGATCGACGCTTCAAGCCGTCTGCTTCAGCCCTTTTTTTTATCTCGAGCTACTTCGAACTGCGATAACTATCTTCCCGAGAATGGATATTTCTCGCGTTCTTGTTGTTTGAGCATGCTTTTCTTAGGGATTCTTTTTCGCCCTTCCTGTTTATCTTTTATGCTGCAGAATAAAGTTCGCACGGTTACTGTCACCAGAGGAGCCAGCGAACACATTAGTAACCCGTCGCGACGTGCTGAGGTAGACGTGTCGCCAAAGGATTCCACACCGCAGTCAGCTGCTGGGGAGGTTCGGTCTCAACCTGAGACGCAGCTTCGAAAAATCCCACGAGAAGCATCGTCAGCTCCAGATCAAGAAAAGAAGCGGCACCAACAACCCCTTCAGCAGCAACAGCAGCAGCAACTAGGAGCCCAGCCGAAGCGGCAGAAACAGGATGAGTCATCTTTAGCATCAAGGCACAGAGACGCTTATTCCAGGGTACGAGATGAATATTTTCGTAGGGTAAAGAAAGAAATGTTGACCTATTTTTTAGGTACGAAGTTCTACACCAGAGTAACAGATTGTGACAAGTGACATGATCAAAATGAGACTGATTAGCGTAAGGTTTTCGTTGCCTTCCAATTTCCACTAAATTTTCTGCTTTGTCGTCCCTTCCCCTTTCTCCGCGCACTCCCTTCCTCCCCCACCTTCCCTCCCTGCTCCTCACCCGCCGTCTCTGCAATCCCCCTACTCCCTCACCCGCCCTCCTCCTCTCCAGCGCCTGCTCCCCCCGGAGGCGCTCCCCTGGGCGGCACTGGCAGGGGGCGCGGTGGCAGCCGCCGCAATGGCAGCAGCGGGGCTGCGCAACCGTCAAATGCCCCAAGGCCAGCAGCAGCAGATGCATGCCGGGCCTGGTTACAGCAACCACCGCAACCATAACGCATGCGACGGCGCCCAGCCGCTGCCGTTTCGCCGGGGTTCCGAAGCCTCGTGCTGCACCACTGCTGCTTCGGGTATGCAGAGCGGAGTGGGGAGCGGGGGCGGAAGAGGCGGAAGATGCAGGGGGCATGGGGTCAGGGTGAACAGTCACGGTAGGAGTGGAAGGCCGGGTGGAGGGGGAGGAGGAGGAGGTACAGGAGAAGAGGCAGTAGCAGCAGCAGCAGGAGGAGAAGGAGCAACAGGAGCTGGTGACGCAGGAGGAGGAAGGAAGAAGAATGTAAGCCTCGCATCCCCAGCTGCACGGTCTCCTCGCACCCCCACCGCCACCAGCACCACGGCAAGTGCTCTCGAGCAGGGCTTGAAACGCCTCTCTCTCGCAGCCGCAGATAAGCAAGCACAAGAGCCCGGAGTCCGATCCGAAGCAGCTGCTTCTGCCCCTGCTGCTGCGGGCAGTGCCGGCGGCACTGGTGCTGAAGGCGCTGGGGCTGGTAGCGGTGGTATCGGTGGTGGTGGTGGTAGTGGTGGTGGTTCCAGTGGTGCTGCTGGTGATGGTGCTATGGCTGCTCCCAACTCGAGTGAAGAAGAGGAGAAGATCGAATCCCCCGCGTCTGTGCTCCGTTCCAGGACCAGTGCCGAGGGAGCGGGACCGTCTAGAGACAAGGCAAAGGCCGAGGGAACGGCGCGGTCTAGGGGTAGGACAGATAGGCGAGCCCCCCCCTGCGTTGCTCACAGCCCTCACGGCCCTCACAGCACGGCCGGGAGGAGCAAGACGGATGCGAGCGCTTCTCCCTGCTCGCGGCACTGCAAGCATGGGACTGAGGGCGGGTGTTGTGCGAGGGCGAAGAGAGAGGGGGGGGACGTGGAGGCGAGTGAAGGGGCGGAGTACGAGGAGGGGTCGCGGGACGAGTGGCACCGGGGATACCAGTGGCAGCAGCACGTTGGCGACCGAGAAGGAGAGCGTGAACGAGAAGGCGAGTGCGAAAGAGAACAGGAAAGAGGAGGCGCGAAAGCCGCGACTGACAGCTACCCATCTTATGCGTACAGCAATGCCCTTTTCGAATTGGACAGCTCCCGTGTTGGCGGCTTCCCAGGCTCAGAAACGTTCAGCAAATCCTCGCCGGGTTCACCCTTCCTTGGCGTAACTCCCGAGGCTTCTCCAGGGTTCACCATCCCAGGATCGTCCATCCCAGGATCGTCCATCCCAGGATCGTCCATCCCAGGATCGTCCGTTCCAGGATCGTCCATCCCTGGGTCATCCATCCCAGCTTCTTCCTTCCCACAGTCGTCGTTCCAGCAATCGCCTACCCCAAGGCCCACCCCTGGGACTAACGCGTCTCGCCCGCGTTCGTCTGACGGATCCCTCTGCTCGCACCTCTCCCCGCTGCCCTCCCCTGCCGTCGGTAAGCCGCTAGCGTCCGCAGGCCTGAGCAGCGCGGAACTGGGCTCGCAGCAGCAGCTGATTCACAGGCCGCTGGGAGCAGCGAGTGCGAGCAGAGCAGAGGTGCTGCGGCTAAGAGGGCAGCTGCGGCGGCGGGACGAGATGATATTCTCGATGCAGGCGCGCATGGGGATGCTGGAGGAGGAGAGGCGGAGGGCGGAGGGGGAGTCTGTGAATGCTGTTGCGGCTGCTGCGGCGGCGAGGGAGGAAGCAGGGGAAGCGAAAGGGCAGCTGCGGGAGAGGGAGGAGGTGATCGTCTCTCTGCAGGCTAGGATGGGGGCGTTGGAGGGGGAGAGGAGGCGGGCGGAGGGGGAGATTGCGAGGGCTGAGGCAGCAGTGGCGGAGGCAGAAGCGGCAGCAGAAGCAGCAAGAGCGGTGGAACGAGCGAGTGCGGAAGCAGCATGTGCGGAGCTGCAGAAGCGCGAGGAGGTGATTGTTTTGTTGCAGGCGAGATTGGTGATGCTGGAAGGGGAGAGGCGGAGATTAGAAGAGGAGGGATCTGCGAGGGCTTGTGGTGCAGGTGCTGCTGTTGCGAGGGCCGAGGCAGCAGCAGCTGCGGAGCTGCAGAAGCGGGAGGAGATGATTGTTTCCCTGCAGGCGAGATTGGTGATGCTGGAAGGGGAGAGGCGGCGAGCAGAAGAGCGGGAGACCGCGAGTGCTGCGGCCGCTGCGGCTGTAAGGGGGGAAGCGGGTGCTGCTGAGATTGAGGCTCTGAAGGGGCGATTGCAGGAGAGTGAGAGGGAAGTGGAGGAGAGTGGGAAGAGGGCGGATGAGAGTGAGAGGAGGGCGGAGAAGAGTGAGAGGAGGGTGGGAGAGAGTGTGAGGAGGGCCATGATGTGGGAGGAGAGGGCGAAGGAGGCGGTTGCAGCACTGGAAGCGAAGGCCAAGGAACTAGAATCAGCACAGCAGGCACTGGATTTAGCACAGCAGGCACTCTCTGCTGCGTTAGAGGAGCTTGCAGTGGTCCGTGCTGCAGCAGCAGCAGCTGAGGCGAGGTCGGAACGTGTAGAGGAGAAGGCGGCACAGGAGGGCACGGGGAAAGATGGCGCAGCCGTCATTACTCTCGCTGCAAGTGCTGCTGCTGGTGCTGCTGCTACTGCTGGTGCTGGTGGTGTTGGTGCTGGTGCTGGTGCTGGTGCTGGTGGTGTTGGTGCTGCTTTTGCTGCTGCGACTGCAACTGAAGATTCTGTGCAGCTTACGGAGCGACAGCTGGAGGACATCCGAGCCTTGCTGGCGGATTACCGAACCTTGGAATCCGCCCTGGCGGAGGCTCGGGAGGAGTGCCGGGCGTTGGCGGCAGCTAAGGAGGAGGGGGAGCGGGCGATGGCACAGGCTTTAGCAGAGCATGCGGAGATGGTGGAGGAGGTGGAAAGAATGGAAGTGGAGATTAGGAGATTAAGGGTAGAGGCGAAGGAGAGAAGTGGAGCAGATGGTGTAGCAACAGTTCCTGGCCTGTGGAAAAAAGAAGGGGAGGAGGAGACTGGGGGTGAGATGGTGAGGATGGAAGGGGAATTGAAGAGACTGAGGGAAGAGTGTGGGGCGTTGGTGGCTGCGAAGGAGGAGGGCGAGCGGGCGAGGGTGCAGGCACTAGCAGAGCGTACAGAGATGGCGGAGCAGGTGAAAAGAATGGAGGCAGAAATCAAGAGACTGAGGGAACGACACTTGGAGGAAGAGGTAAGGGAGGAGGCGAGGGAGCAGGCGAGGGTGCAGGCAGTGGCAGAGCATGCAGAGGTGGTGGAGGAGGTGGAAAGATTGAGGGCGGATATTAAGAGACTAGAGGGAGAGGCGAGGGGGAGAAATGGAGCGGATGGAGAGGGCACGTCGATTGTCCCACTGAATGTGGCAGAGCATAGAGAGATGGTGGAAGAGGTGGAAAGAATGAGGGCCGAAATGAAGAGGCTTCAGGCTGAATTGATTAGAAGAGAAGCTGAATCGGATAGTGGAAGCGAACAGCGGAGGGGTGGGCAGGAGGAGCAGAGAAGTGAGGGAACGATGTTTGTTGTTGTTGGGAGTGGAGGGGAGCAGATGTGTCGGGGTGGTTTGGACGTGGCAGGTGGGAGGAGGATAGGGGAGGAGGAGACGGAAGGAAAGCAAGCAAGTAATGTGATCGAAGGGGCAGGAGCTGTGGGCATAGCTGCAAGCGCAGCAGCAGGCACAGCAGCACTGGTGACGAATCTGGCAGACACGTTCGATCGAGTTACTGTCAATGAAAAACAGATTGATGAGGCTGCTGCTGCTGATGCTGCTGCTGCTGAAGCTGGTGCGCCTAGGGGTGGTGGCACTGCTGCTGCTGCTGCTTCTCAACTAGGTACTACTATTGTGCCTTGCGACACTGGCTATGCTGCAAGTGCTGGTTTCCCTTCACAAGTAGCTGCTGCTACCTTCACGTCAAGGAATAGCTCTGCATCAGACACACCCGTTGTTACTGCTGCGGGTGTAGAGGGCGCGTCAGACGTTGCAGCAGCAGCAGTCCTGGCGAAGCTGGTCGCTGCTGCTGAGCAGGCCCTCTTTTTCCAGGGTAATTTGCCCAGAGAAACCCCTGGATTCCCCACTAGTGACATAGTTGAATCTGGATTCATATCTGGAGTTGGGGGAGCAAGGAGCCTTATAGGGAGACAGGAGGAGCAAGGGAGAGTGGGTAAGGGGGTAATGACAGGGTATTTAAGCCATCACTCATCTGATGGCGTGGATGGCGAATTGAGTCCTCTTAAAAGGGTTAGAGAGGAAGACAGTATCGAGTATTTGCTGGAGAACACTGGCTCAAGCATGGGACGGCACAGGGGGCCTGTGGTGAGAGCATTAGGGTTCCACGTGGGCAGCTGCAGCAGCAGTGGTGGTGAAGTGGGGGTTATGAGTGCAGGCGCTTCTAGTGGTGCTGTGGGCACTGTTGCTACTGGTAGTATCACTGCTGGTGGTTCTGCTCCTTCCGCTGCGGCTGCTGCTGGGGTTACTGAGGTGGTCCCTGCTGGGGTGGTCCCTGGTGGTGCTGGTGCGTCTTCTCCCTTGCTCAGCCTGCTGTCTCCCCACGAAGTGGGTCTGCTGAGACAGCATGCCATGCAGCTGAGGGCGAGGGTAGCACTCAGAGGAGGTGCAAGAAGCGAGGGAGAAGCAGAAGGAACAGGTGCAGGAGGAGAAGCAGGAGGCATGGGGCAGTGTGGATCCTGTGTGAGTGGAGAGATGGGTGGTAGCAGTGATGCTGCTGTGGGTGCTACAACCGGTGTTGCTGCAGTAACAGCAGCAGCGGAAGCAGCAGAAGCAGCAGCACCAGCCAAAGCAGCAGAAGCAGCAGAAGCAGCAGCAGCGGCAGCGAGGGAGCAGCAAAGCAGCGAGCTGTTCAGATTCACTGCGGCTAGCAATGCCATCAGTTCTGCCCATCCAGCAACAACAACAACTGGGCCTCAAAGGGACAGGCGCCCTCTTGCTGACCTGTTGTCACCCGGGAGAGAGGGTAGGGTGCTGGGAAGAGGAGGGATGAGGGGCAGCAGAAGTGACGCCAGGGTTCATGACCGGCACCACCAGCACCACCACCAGCATCAGCGACATTACCACCACCAGCAGCAGCACCAGCACCAGCAGCAGCGGCAGCAGCAGCAGCGTACGAAGCAGGTGAGTGTGAGGGAGAGCAGTGGGCGGTTTGTGCTGGTGCCTGACGTCAACGACCCCAGCAAGAAGCGCTGGCAATGGGAGAAGACGGACCTGAGAAGCAGTGCAAGTGGAGGCAGGAGCAGGAGCAGCAGGGAGGGTGGTTCTCCTGGTGCTGCCGATGTTGCTGCTGGAAATGCTGCGGCTGTGAGTGGTGGGAATGGTGAGATTGGTGTGACTGGTGTTGTTACAGCAGCAGAGGGCGCTGTTTCAGCTGCATCAGGTGCTTCTGGCTCCTCTCTTGCATCTCCTGCTGCTCTGGCTGGATCGTGGGGCTCTGGTGGGTCTGCTTTAGCTGGCGCTGCTGGTGGTTCTGCTATGGGTGATTCTGGTGCTGGTAGTGGTGGTGGTGATGCTGCGTCAGCTGCTGCTGCTGCTGGGGTAGCGGCAGTGAGTGATGTCGGGGAAAGGATGCCTGAACAGTGTTCTGCTGTGGTGACACCTGTCCCTGCAGCTGCGGCACCAGCTACTGCAGCAGTGGATGGCAATTCACGAGTTAAGAAGGCAGGAAAATATTTATGGAACCTTCTTGATGACATGTAGAGCTCATTGTCCTCTGAAATTGTGATATATTTGTGTAAACCAACAGTCTCAACGTTCTCTGTGCCAGAATAACACATTCACACATTCTTTTTCTGTGTAGATCGACGATTCTAACGCGTTAGCAAGGCTTTCCCCCGACAATATCGAAAGGCCATTGCATCTTGGGAATGACGCGCTATCTGCCAGCGATGAGAGAGTGTAAATTGTCGTCTGCAATCCGCTGAGTCAACCGGCGAGCAGAGTCATACATATACGGTACTAGCTGTTGTGTGGGACGGACGATAACGCGGATCGTTTGAAGGGGAATGCTTCATGCATTCAGCGCGGTAGTGTGCTTCTCTCTGAGTTTGTGTGGTTCTAGAGGCCCGTCTTTTGAAGCGTTGCGTCGTGTGCATTTTAACTCGGTCGCACCTTGATGCTGTAGTAGGCTAGTATCATTGAAGCGCGATGCCGAAAACCCGACATAGGAGGAGTCGATTCTAGAGCGCCGCGGCTGCGCATTAAGTTGATGCTGAAGGGCAGACCGTTGCTTCAACGTCGAGACGTGCCGTTCGCGGTGACTTCTGAGTTGACTCACATAACGGCGTAACGTTTCCTCGCTTGACAAAGCGTAATTGTTCCTTCGCGCATTGAGCTACGAATTGTATCCTGCCCCGCTTGCGAAAGTGGCATGCGAATGGCGAAAAATCTCAACTGCATCTTCTGCGACATCGCCAGGGGGGTTACTCGGCCGGGTCGTGAGCCGACCACGCTGCTTTACAAGGTGACGCGATTGTGGGTAATATTTCGTATCTCACTCCTTTATACTGTGTCCACGTGTCCCTGGGATCTCTGATTGGTCAATGCATAGTCTCGATATCACCCACAATCGAGTCATGCCTGTTGGTTGCTTTAGTCATCTGACTCTTTCACATTCTAGTGGCATTGAATTAACTGGCATGGCATGGCATATGGCATGGGATGGGATGGGACGGCATGACATTGATTGGCATGGCATGCCAAAGCACGGCGTATGATGGTTTTTATTGGCATGGCATGGTATGGCATGGCATGGCATGGCATGGCATGGCATGGTATGGCATGGTATGGCATGGCATGGCATGGCATGGCATGGCATGGTATGGCATGGTATGGCATGGCATGGCATGGCATGGCATGGCATGGCATGGCATGGCATGGCATGGTATGGCATGGTATGGCATGGCATGGCATGGCATGGCATGGCATGGCATGGCATGGCATGGCATGGCATGGTATGGCATGGTATGGTATGGCATGGCATGGCATGGCATGGCATGGCATGGTATGGCATGGTATGGCATGGTATGGCATGGTATGGCATGGCATGGCATGGCATGGCATGGCATGGCATGGTATGGCATGGTATGGTATGGCATGGCATGGCATGGCATGGCATGGCATGGTATGGCATGGTATGGCATGGTATGGCATGGTATGGCATGGTATGGCATGGTATGGCATGGTATGGCATGGTATGGCATGGTATGGCATGGTATGGTATGGGGAAGTCTGACATGGAATGGTGGTATGGAGTCGTGTCGTGTGTGTTTCCCTGTGGATCCTTGTGCAGCACAGGATGACTCGTTAGTAGCATTCCCCGATATTAAGCCAGCTGCATACAAGTAAGTCACAATACGAGCAGACGGGATGGGGTTTGATGGACTGGGGGTTGGTGGCAGCAGATAATCTCTGCAAATGTGCTGTGTGTCCGTACATGTGTGTGCCTGCATGTATGTGTCTGTCTGCTATACATTCTGTTCTTATTCCAACTGGGGTCATGCACAGTGATTGGTGCAAGCCCAGTGAGTTTATAATCCTAACTCAGTCCCGTAGAGCATCGATGTGTGTTCTCCACCGTCCACCGTCCATGCATCCGTGTATCCATGCGTCCACTTATCCATAGAGCACATAGCAACAGTGAACGATCTCACCCCCATTGAGCGTGGCTGTGTTTGTCATATTGGTGCCAATGTGCCATTTATCCATGCGCCCGTCCATGCACCCATGCACACCCATGCGCACACATTCGCACCCATGCACACCCATGCACACCCATGCGCACCCATGCACATCCATGCGCACCCATGCACACCCATGCACACCCATGCGCACCCATGCACACGCGCACCCATGCACACCCATGCGCACCCATGCGCACCCATGCGCACCCATGCGCACCCATGCGCACCCATGCGCACCCATGCACACCCATGCGCACCCATGTGCTCCCATGCTCACCCATGCACACCCATGCACATGCATGCACACCCATGCACACGCGCACCCATGCACACCCATGCGCACCCATGCGCACCCATGCGCACCCATGCGCACCCATGCACGCCCATGCGCACCCATGCACACCCATGCACACCCATGCGCACCCATGCACACGCGCACCCATGCACACCCATGCGCACCCCATGCGCACCCATGCGCACCCATGCACGCCCATGCGCACCCATGCACGCCCATGCGCACCCATGCACGCCCATGCGCACCCATGCGCACCCATGCGCACCCATGCGCACCCATGCACGCCCATGCGCACCCATGCACGCCCATGCGCACCCATGCACACCCATGAACACCCATGCGCACCCATGCGCACCCATGCACATGCAGGCACATCCAGGTGATCCCCATCGAGCACATAGCAACAGTGAACGATCTCACCCCCAGCGAAGCACATCGGCAACTGGGTGCGTTCTTTCTTACCACTTCTGCTGGTTATGCATGCATGTGCTCGTGTATGTGCGCCTTGATCACTTCTCTCCATCTCTCTTCTCCCTTCTGTCTTGGCATCTGTTCCATCCATCTTGGCACCTCTTCGATTCACCCTTTCCATGAGAGCATCTCCACCTTTTGTGATCAGTCTATTTCTAAGTTGACTCAAAGTAGACTCCATCCATCTTGACACCTCTTGCAGTCACCCTCTCCATGAGAGCATCTCCACCTTTGCACCCCTTCCTCGCTCCCTCCGCTCCCATCAGTGGTTCATGATTTTTTCTCCTCCCTCCCATTCTCTCCCTCCCCTCCTCTCCTCCCATGCGTGCAGTGGAGAGCATGGTGACACTGGGTCAAAAGCTTGTCAGAGAACATGCACCCGACGCCAAGGAGTACCAGTGAGTCTGCGCGTTAGTGAGTCAACCAGGCCTGGGTCTCAGTGAGTCAGTGTCTCTCAATATCCGCTCCCACACTCATCCCATGCAGTGGAGAGCATGGCGGCACTGGGTCATAAGCTCGTAAGGAGCATGCACCCGACTCCAAGGAGTACCAGTGAGTCTGCGCACTAGCGAGTCTATGTGCTGATAATTCAACCCCGGCGTATTGGAAGTACTTTTGGAATCCCAAAAGTGACAGAACGAGAACTCGCATGAGCAATTCCAGACGCTCAGTAGTACCAACTGGGCGAGCATAGACGAGCAATTCACCAGCGCTGTTCCCGGTCCGGCGCAGACGCTCAGTAGTTGTTTCACCAGCGAGTCTATGTGAGAGCAAGTGGGCCCTGGCCTCGGTGGAAACGACTTGTTCCGTCCTGCCTCCTCAGCCAGGGCCTCAAAAGTCTGTTGGATGAGTACATGGGTAAGAGGCTCCCCTACCCCCCGTTCCCCTCCCACCCTCCCATTGCCCCCTAGCTTTGGCTTTCATCGTCCAATGTTCAACAGTGTCATCAACCACCTCCACCTGCACTGCCCCGCTTCTCATCCACCCTCTCGTGCGCTTCCTCCTGTCCCATCCCCCCTTCCCCCATCTCCCCGCCCGCTTGGTAGCTTTGGCTTCCACCGCCCGCCGTTCAACAGTGTCAACCACCTTCACCTGCACTGCTTCGCTCTCCCCTTCCACTCCTGGTGAGCAACGCGCAAAGGTCTTTGTTCCAGTGCATTCTGAGCCCTTTGTGGTGAGGTGCACGGGCAAAAATCTGGGCACAGAGCAATGACATGGTGTGCTGAAGTACACTCCAATCAGTCTGGTTCATTCTGTCGTTTGCATTGCAGGTTCCACCAGCTGAAGTACACTCCAAGGCTATTGATTCCATTCTTCATGACACCAGATGCATTATTAAAACGGCTCGGAAAGCCATCAACAACGAATGAGTGACTTGGGATTAGAAGCAACATGATCGGATAAGACCGCTCAAATGGCTGGTTGGCATATAAACTCACCTATAAATCATATGTCTCTGAGCTGTCTGTGCTCACGAGAGGATGTTCCATATAACTTTGCTGTGGGTCTTTCTCGGGTAACCTGAAGTTATCATAGGCAGATTCTTGCAATGTGTTTGGCAATGCACACTATGTTGTTAACAAAAGCTCTCAAAAGCTTTCTTCGTTCAAAACTTGCTTTGCTCAAAGTGAGTGTTTCAATCAGGGCCTCAGATATCAGGAAAAAAACCCTGAAATTCCTGATTTTGGCAGTCCTTTTTTTACCTACACTGAAAAATCAGTGTTGAGATTTTTGTGGGGCTGATCTTTCAGCCTTTTTTGTTAGGCCACACTGAAATTTCAGACTTTTTTTCCCGAGTACACTGATTCCACAGCGTTGTAACGAAACTAACACTGAAACCAATTCTTGTTCCGTGGTTTCAATATCGCGGAAAACTGCATTTCTGTTCTCCGCTTCCCGTTGTGCCTAGGAATTTCGACTGCTGTCAGTCAGTCCTAAATCTGACGTCCTCGATATTATCCAAGCTCTTTTTTCACAACGGGTGCTTTTCCCGCCTTTTTTCACCAGCTGGGAGCCGGAGCCCTAAGATTCGACGGTCTACGCACCCGCATCCCCCGTCATCCCCCGCCTTGTCATCCTCATCACACTGATTTGCGTAACACACTGCTTACTTCAGCACTGGGCAAAGCGTGGGCTTACCTTAGTAACTTGGTAGCTTGTTAGTCTCCTGGTAACGTGTGAGCTCTATTAGTAACGCGCTGCTGAATTTTTAGTAGCGCTAATAGTACCGTGCATCAGCGACGCGTCGATTCGCGTCCGCATGGATTTAAGCGGCGACGGCGGCGTGGTGAAGAAAATCCTCCGCGCCGCTAAACCCGACGCGCTGCAGCCGTCCGATACGTACCCGATTGCAGATGGTGCGATATCAGCTGCTCGCCGGGTAACGCTGCATTATTTATTTATTCATTTATGTTAAGTTACAGGCATTTCATTTGAGTGGAGTGCCTGCGCGAGGGTTGACGTGGCGTTTTTTTACTCCGGAAATTAGCGTACTATGTTTATCCAACCAAGTTATCCTGCCTGCAACATGCTCCTCCTCTCTCTACCCCCAATTCCCTCCTCCTGTTACCCTCACTTCCCCCCTCCTTCCCCTCCCCCGCTCTTCTCATGTGCAGTGCACTACAAAGAGCGACTGGCCCCCAACGAGGTATATTTGACAACTTGAGGAAGGACAATGCCGCTGCGCTCCCAACCCAACTCGATTCCCCCCTCCACGCCCTCATTCCCAGCCCACCCATCCCCTCTGCCTCTTACCCTTCCCCCTCCCTCCCCTCCACCTGTCTACTGTCCACTATGAGCAACGGCTGACCACCGGGGGGGAGGTGAATCTTGAGGCGCCTCAAAATGAAATCCGCGTGCATTGAGTTGGATTTTGAGGCGCCTCAAAATCCCTCCCTCCCCTCCACCTGTGTACTCTCCACTATGAGCAGCGGCTGACCACCAGGGGCGGAGGTGGTGGACGGGTCGGGGGAGGGGAGGACAATGCTGTGTCATCACCCCTTCCCTCCGTTTTCATCCCCCAGTGCATCTCCTCCCTCCCTCTTTCCGCCCTCGCGTCTTTCTCCCTCCCCTCCTGTTTCCAGTGCACTACGAGGGGCGGCTAACCACGGGCGAGGTGTTTGACAGCTCGCGGGAGGACAACGCAGTGTTCACCACACCCCCCTTCCCGCCTCCCCCTCCTCCCGCTCTCCCCCCCCTCTATCCAGTGCACTACGAGGGGCGGCTAACCACAGGCGAGGTGTTTGACAGCTCGCGGGAGGATAATGCTGTCTTCACGTTTGAAGTGGGCAAGGGGAAGGTCATTCGCGCATGGGACATCGGCATCAAGAGCATGAAGGTGAGTTGTGTGTTTTGCTTTTTGTCTTTATACTGGCTGGCAGAAAACATTAATTGTTCTTTCAGGGTAATCACCCTAATATGGTAATTATACTCAGTATTCCGCGCATGAGACATCGTAATCAAGATTGCAGTACTGTTGTGAGTACGAACCTGTTTGTTCATTCCCTTGTTCCTCCTCTCTCACTTTGCACCCTTTTCACTTACCGGACCTAAATACGTGTGCTGACAACAGGTGGGTGAGCTGGCAGAGCTGACGTGTCAATCAGACTATGCATATGGAGATGTTGGTTCTCCTCCCGAAATTCCTCCAGGGTATGCCCATGCATGCCCATGCATGCCCATGTATGCCCATGCATGCCCATACATGCCCATGCATCCGTGCATCCATCCCAGGGTTTGTCCACGCATGCGTGTTCGTACTTACCCTGTTTCTGTTTCTTCATGTGCCCGGATGATACCACACATGCTTTTTGCATGCTTTATATTTTCTCTCCGTTAGGAAGCAACACGAATTTTTATTCCCCTCTGTCCTTCATTGGTCCACGTGGCAGCGCCACATTGGTGTTTGAAGTGGAGCTTATGGCTGTTCGCCCCCCCAGAGGCTCTGTCTCCACGGCTGCTGCTGAGAAGGGCCGATTAGAGTGAGTGGGAGGAGGGGAGAGAGTGCAAGGAGAGTGAGTGAGAGGGGGAGAAAGATGATTAGTGAGTTGCTCATTGAGCCAGCCCATGGCTCATGGCTCTTCTTCCCCCAGAGGCTCTGTCTCCACTGCTGCGGCTGAGGAGGGGCGACTAGAGTGAGTGCGAGGAGAGAGAGTGAGTGAGAAAGGATGAGAGTGAGAGGAGGAAATGGTTGAGAGAAGAGAGCGAGTGAGGGAGGCATTTGCGAATATACACAGACTCCATTAAATCTCAAGACAAGCCCCGACCCCCAGAAGCCGACCCCCAGAAGCTAATTGACCATCACTGACTGCTGCTGCTGCTGCTGCTGCTGCTGCTGCTGCTGCTGCTGCTGCTGGTGGGAAGAGCAGACTGGAGCAAGTGAGGAATGTTCACATGCAGTGCAGCACTCTGTGTGCCGCTTCCAATCTCTTCCCGTTCTTTCCCATCCCTCCCGTTCCTCCACTCCCTGCCTGTGGCAGTGAGTTGAGAGCAGAGAGGGAGGCAGCAGCAGCGCGGAGGGAGGAGGAGAAGAAGAAGAGGGAGGATGCCAAAGCAGCTGCGGCTGCTAGGGCGGCTCAACTGACTGCCAAGGTAACGGGGAAAGGAGGAGGAAAGGGAGGCAAGGGGAAGAAGAAATGATGTGGGCGGGTGGGTGTCATGTTTAGGCCAATACATGGGGAGGAGAAGAAGAGGGAGGGCGCCAAGGCTGCTGCAGCTGCTAGGGCGGCTCAACTGAGCGCCAAGGGAACAGGGAAAGGTGGGATAAAAGGAGGGAGAAAGGAAGGCAAGGAAGTAGAAAGAAGACTTGCATGTTTTGCTGGCCCGATGGAGTGACATCATGACACACACAGAAGTGGACTTTTGTTAGTTTGCTCAAAAAGGATGCAAGGGGAAGGAGAAAAAGGACTTGCATGTTCCGCTGGCATGATGGGATGTCACACTAGCGGGCCCTTTGCTGTCCTTTTTGAGTCGCCTCAAAAGTCGCCTCAAGAGTCACCTCGTGATAGGTTGGGTTTGGCACTGGCCCATGACCCATCCAAGTGGCTGACTGACTCATCTTTTGCCCGAGAAGGCTTGAGTAGTTGGGCAGGAATTTGCAAGTAAGGTGATAGTGTTGTTGTGACTGGTGATATGTATGCTGTAACTGCGTGAGACATGGTTTTAGCGTCTGAAAAAAGAGGAGATATTTGAAGAGCTATGGCGGGCTCTTGCTAACTGCAAGAGTTTCTGTTGCCACACACATAAAAAATGGCACAAAATCCCAATTCTCTCACAATAATCAACACAGCCCTGGTTGGCATGTTACCCACCCACATCCCCATTCAAGAGTTTTGGGTCGAATTAAAGCCCGCGTCCCAAATTGCGGGCCGCGCGCGTCAAGCTTTTAAAACTTGACGAAGTGCAGTGGGCAACCTTTGAAAAGTACCGCACTTGCAATTTGGGACTCAGGGACAGACCCAACCCCCAGGGCGAAATTTGAGGGAGTGCTGGGTTTGGCGAGATTAACGAAAAAAACGAAATCGGGAGTCACTCGCCTAAACCCAGACCAGAAAAACCCCACGCGTCAACTTTTAAAAGCTTGTGCAATTTGGGCCGCCGGCTTTAAAGCAATCCCACATCCACATGCATACAGTTAGATACTGGTAAGAATTTATGATTCTAACACTCCACTCCACAACAATCGCACCACTACATGAAACCCTAGCAGTGCACTTGCACCCAAATGCTTTTACTTCACCTTCCGAACCTTGCCACAGAGCGCAAACTTGTTACCCGCATGCCCCACAACTGCGTACGAATTCGTCACAGCAGCCGTTACAACCCCGCGGGCCGCAGCCTCACTGCTTCCAATGTTCTCTGTCTCATACCTAAAGCTGTAGCGCTTGCGGCGTGCAGCCTTTTCACTTATGATGTTGACCATAGCATTTATTTGTGTGGGCTCGGTTGTGCCGCAGGAAGATACGAAGTCATAGACAGGATAATCTCCCCCCTTGAGGTTCAAGAACACAAACTCAAAATGCGAGGTGAACGAAGAGGAAGAGTACCTGTCAGCAGGAGCAAGCAGAGATAGTCATTAGAGAGTACTGCCAGTGCACTGCATAGATGCTCGGGTAATGCCAGTACAATGTCAAAAGTACCATAGATGCAGACTTTGATTTGGTACAAACACTTGAAGACTCAGAGAGAATACACAGTGGTATGCTGACGTATGAAGAAGTGCGATGAGACCAACTCGCAAGATTGTTTTTGAGAATTCTAAAAAACAATCTACAGCGTCGAAGACTCGAAGAGAACACACAGTGGTTGTTCATGCGGACGCCTGAAGAAGTGTGACGGGGACCAACTCATAAGACTCTCAAAAGTAATTCTGACTCCACAGGACTCGTGACAGCGCTGCCAGTGGAACAAGTGTGGCCTCAGGGGCACAGTTGTTAAACACTCTCAAATCTTACAGAAGTCATTAAGACACAACAGGACTCAGTCAGTGCCACCATTGGACCAAGTGAACGAGGGGACAAGTGAACGAGGGGACAAGTGAACGAGGGGACAAGTGAACGAAGGGACAAGTGAACGAGGGGACAAGTGAACGAGGGGAAAAGTGAACGAGGGGACAAGTGAACGAGGGGACAAGTGAACGAGGGGACAAGTGAACGAGGGAACAAGTGAACAAGGGGACAAGTGAACAAGGGGACAAGTGAACGAGGGGATAAGTGAACGAGGGGACAAGTGAACGAGGGGACAAATGAACGAGGGGACAAGTGAACGAGGGGACAAGGACGTAGTTCACTGCCTTGATAACAATTCTCCCCGAAGCTCCACTGTCACCGATTACTTTCCCTTTGACCTTGGTGGGACGCAGCTTGACCACGTATTTCACTAGCAACGGGAATGGGAGGGATCGGGAAGACAGAAACAAAGTTGGTAGCTGTTGATTCTGAGGTTGGCGTCAGCACCATCAACGGGAATGCAAGTGTAGGGAAGGAGGGAAAGTGAATGATATAGCACACACTTCAGCTGCAGCAAACACTTCAGCTGCAGCAAACACTGCAGCACTCACTGGAGCACACACTGCAGCACACACTGCAGCACACACTGCAGCACACACTGCAGCACACACTGCAGCACACACTGCAGCACACACTGCAGCACACACTGCAGCACATACTGCAGCACACACTGCAGCACACACTGCAGCACACACTTTATTTGAAAGTAACCTTATTAATCTACGGGCTGCACACATGCACAAACCATCAGAAGACATTCTGGTAATATTACTGCACCCAATGATTCTATGCGCACGGAGGTCATACAGTCAACGTTGGGCAGACTGTGAAGGGTTCGTCGTTGGAAACCACAGCCGCTTGAGAAGAGATGTAGATAACGAGAGTCCTTAGCTCGGACGGCTTACACACCATCTCCAAATTGCTGAAGACCCGAGGCTCACCCCCAGAAACTCGAAACCTCAAGGTCACTACCAGGTTTCTTGTTTCTCACCCAAAAGTCATTGTAGGGTCAATAGCACGCGGAATTGACCCTATGGTGACTATCGGGTTGTCAAATTTCGGAAAAATAGAACCCCTGACCCGACAGTGACCCCAACCTGACCATCGCGACGCGTCGAAACCCCCCACAGCCGAGCCGCACATGAAAAAGACATTGACCAATCGCAGGTCGTGATGTTCCGGGTCGCATATCGATAAACATTGACCAATCTTGTGCGTCGAAAACCATTAATTGAGATCGCGCAACAAGGTTAGGTCATGAAATGGTCCAAAGCAGACGCACTTTCACAACTGTCTGATTAAGTATATATGAAAAAACATATAAAATCAACTGCTTCGTTTATTTCTTCGTCATATAAAACAACGGGCTCCTTAACGTATTTTAATAATTAAATGGCATAATAATGGGAAAAATATACAAACAGGTTTACTATATAACCAACAATTGGTCCGTACCTGAAAGTTTGCTTTCAATATTTGCTATATGATTATGATCACATTGTCTTTTGAACCACTGTATCGGGATCCTCTGTATCAGATATTTTTGCGTACGACCTGGTTACACATTTCGTAACATCCATGACGATTCTGCGACCCCAGCGAACTGCAAACGAAGCATGAAACACTGCCTGATCGCGAAATCCGAACTACCGTGACCAGGGAGTGGCGAAACTCAGCCTAGCAAGAAATATGAGCAGTCAATCACGAGAAAAACATAACCAGAGAGTGGCGAGAATTCCACGCAACACATTCTCCACCATACATTTCCTCCTACCCACCTTACACGTCAACCACACCAAGTCACCCCTACGCCCCACCCCAACCAGGATGCTGGAAGAACCCATCCCATCACACCAACCACCACAAAGTTTCGCGCCACATGTCATGCACAGGTGGCGGCAAGCTGCCAGCTGTGCCGAAATGTCAGCACCTTCCCACGGAAAACTATCAGCAAAGAATTACAGACAACCACAGAATTGAAGTCTTCAACTACCACCTCCAACCCCTTCAGGATTTCTCGCCAACCCACTCTACCGTTGCTGAATATTTCTGAACCGTGGAATACCGCGATCAACCCTGTTATAGACTTCTATTTGCCCATTAAACATTGCTCTGCAGAGTCTATTTTCATTTGCTTACAGCAGCTCGACATGTGTGTTTGCTAGCATACAAACTCAGCACTCAGCATTGAACCTGTGGTGACAGCCGATCTTGACGCGGTGAAACGCTGGCCACATTGCGTGCGGAACCATATGCGTGCGGATCCGGTGAAGCACATGCGAAGACACCGACGTTGGCTTATCGTTGCATTGGTTAAATGCTGCCTTTCGTGTATAGCCTAAACCATCGTTAACAAGTTACCACTCGCGACATCGTGCAGTTGTTTTTTCTGCCAATGCCCGAACTGGGTGATCGGCCCGTAATCACGAATTTCCTTTTGTTTTTTGTGCTATTTCCATTACAGTGTTTACGAGCATCACACGGCGCGAGTTCCGTCGGTGAGCGCAACTGAGTGAGTGGAGCTGCAGCTAATGCAGACAGGCGCAGACGGTGAGACCCTCGTAACTGGGTGGGTGTGGCGCTTGCGCAGAAACCGACGGGAATTGCGATGTAGGCGCAGACGGTGAGTCTCTCGAAATTTCCCTCTTGAGTCGTGATTACATGCTTTCGCGGGCTGATGCCGAGATCAGGGGCTCGTGGAGCGGTCCTGCAGCAACTGCATGCTCTAATTTATATACTGATGCCCGAACATGTTCATTTCCACATAATCGTTTTGCGTCTTTTCTCTTTTTGTGTGTTTTGGCTCGAATTTGTGTGTGCTGTTGGTGCAGGCGATTAATCGACGTTGCCTCTTTGCGTTGGCGACATTTGCAGTAACTTTCATATTTTTTTACATTACCAGCATCAATCTGCGTTGCATCATTATTTCCTACTTGTGCTTCTTTCTGAGATGTGGCAGGTGATACTGGAAATGCAAATGTGGTTGCAAAACCACTGGCATGTCATATGGGAATGACATGCCTGTACTGTTAGGGTGTTGATGAGCAATAGGCTGGAGAGATAATGATTTGTGCTACTCAAATTGTTGCATGAATGTATCCACATGTTGCTGCCCCTGGATATATTGTAAAC